TTTTGAAAAATAACCCTTGATCTTAATCGCTATGCTTTCTACTGTAATGATAAGAGTGAGCTCTCGTCGCGCGACAAGCGGTTACAGCAAATTATCAATCGGTTAATTATAAAAGACGCCTCTTTTTGCGTGAACTTTTGACTCGCTAGCAATCCTCTTCGCTAAAAAAAATTGCTGCACGTCATGTCGGAAGCACCACGGTTTGAAGGCAAAAAGACTTTGACTGAATGACACAGAGAGGTAAAGAATAGGTGTTGACTTCATTTTTTATTATTATTTTATTTTATTGATGATAATTTTTGGTACTACTCGATTGGATCGTCAAAAAGAAGATCGAATTTACGAGCTCTCAACAGGGTTGGTAGCGTACAATTTAGCTTTAAGCTTGTGGTAAAGCGATCACACACATTATATACTTATTTTTCTTTTAATAAAACCTTTGGTCCTAGCCCATATAATATATTTAGAGCCTATTGCGCGGTTGGCGATAGGGTGCATGTTCCCAAAATTTCGCAAATGACCTGACCTCATCTGCCAATAATCGATTGGTGTGCTGATTGAGCCGATCGTAGATGGCGCCAGCATTGCGTTTTCAAATACCTTACCAACAGGTTCAATCGGGATGGGGCTTGAGGTAAGGTATGGTTTCGGGCAAACCATGATGCGCCTGTCATAAAGCGTTAGAAGCTTGTTTTCTCTCACTAGAAGCAAAGAGACTTTTTCCGGTAGAGCGTAGGTCCTAAGATCAGTCGCAGTCAAATACAAGCGTCGTTTGTTGTGCAACGAGAGTTTTTTTTTTTTCTTCAGGTCCTACGTAAAGGGTATACAGTTTAAACTAGCGCCTTGACCTTCGATGCGATATAGTGTATACATGCGGCCGACACGAGAGCTTAGTTAATAAGGACTTCCAGGTATTTTCGCCTGAGGATGCCAAAGAACATTACCTTGTTTTCAAAGGTCAGAGGGGTGGTAGTAGTGCAGTGTGCTAACATGTAATAAAAAGCGCTTTGCCCTATTTTGCATTAATGGTAATTTTTCAACGACGACACCAGTTGGCAAGCGTCGGTAGGTGGTAGTGCAAAACGCTGGCACAATAAGGCAGGAGACTCTGACGAGGAGTAAATCGCTGTGTCGTTAGTCAATCTAAGGCAATCCGCGAGTGGGGTTCGTCAGGCTGTTTGCACGTCGTGTACTTAACGTGCAATGAAAAGGAGTGCTATAAGCTATTCCTTGTGGGGCTCCGGCTGCTGTTAGTGGACTCGGGGGTGTGCGCGCACCGTCCACACGTAATCAAAGACGCGGTCCTTTGGGTAGGATATGCTCACGTTAAAAAGAAGTGGGAAGGGCTACGCCGCGCAATTTGTGAAGCAAACCCTTGTGCCAGACTCAGTCAAACGCTTTTCGACACCAAGAAAGACAGCACCAGTAGGTCTTCTTTAAATTAAAGGTGCGGAGTCGTCCACTCCGTCAAGCGAAGAAGTTGTTGAGTGGTGGAACTCAGGCAGTGCGTGGCTTGCGTCAACCAGTGCTTATAAGTGGTGCACCATGACCGCCTTAGGTACTTTGCCAACGGCTAACATGAGGCTGATAGGCCTGTATTTGCCAGGCGTTGATGCTGGTCGTGGTATCTTTGGGAGCCTCGCAACAGTTGCTATATTTTAGCGCTAATGGGAAGGTGCTGAGGGCCATCGTAGAGTTGATAAGACAGCTTTAGATGTTCTACTGCCACCATTGGTAATTGCTTTTAATATCACGTTGATGATACCATCGGGGCCAGGTGCCATTGGTCTCGGTAAAGCGTTGATAATATCTACGATTTCGACTATATTGATTGGCTCAAGCTGTTTTTTCCCTGGCCACAGCAAGGAAGTTTGATTTTAAATCATTTTATCAGCCATAAAATGTGTAGGGGAGGCTACACTCTGAGTAGTGAGGTGAACAGCGAGTAGTATCTCTTTGTCAGCCCCCTTTTCCTCCACAAAATTGCCGTTTCGCATAGTGGGTAATGGTAAACGCGCTCGGTTTTTTTTATTCCCTAATAGACTTACAGAAAGAGGCGCGTCCCTTACCGTTGTCATCCGACATACTACTTTTGGTAGTGTGCGCTTACCGCAATTACACAACTGGCAGGACTTTCTCGTGCTATTGTGCATTGTGCAGTCAAGTAACCCTTGCCACATTTAACGCCTCTGGGGCGACAGAACAGAAATTTGCGCTGTACCCAAATATTTAACAGCGGTGGCACTGCCCGACTCGATTTCTCTTTCGGAACTCTTTCACACTAACTTGAAGATTAGAAGCCGTTTATAATTTCAGCAGCCTTAGTCGATTATTACCTTTGTATATGCACTAAAATCATCGGTAGAGGTCGCTTCGTGCAGTCTCAACGATATTATTCTCAGTGTGCATCCTTGTTTCGCGGAAGGGTGAGATTCTTTGAGTGGGTATCTCTCTCATGAAAACTTGGAATGTAGAATTCGCAATAGATCTCGCGAAGAACAGACTTTATAGGCTTGTCTGCTTGTATTAGATAGGTGAAATGGGGTAGTGCTTCATCACGCCTAAGCTTATTGATGACTCGATTTTCGTCTTCTTTTGCTTAAAATATTTTTATTACTTGATGTGTATCCCTAGACTTCCGAATGTTATTGGTGCCGTTGGCAGACAGAGATTTTGCAAAATGACTCCACTTCTGTTTTTTCGGAGAGAGCCACAGGGCAGGATCTTATTATTTCGCCTAAGAGGAGATGCAGCCACCGAAGGCAGCCCGGATCCGCTGGAGGACTGGGCATTGGGAGGGGATATTGAACTCTAATTAAAGACCTTCTTCGTGCTTTTCATTAGGCCTATCTGTGATTTGTAACTACTATTAAAAAAAGAGTTTTTAATTACCAATAATTTTACTGTTATGGTTGATACAGTCAATAAAATTATTTGCAGAAGTATTATTACTAAATATATTAGTAATACGACTACTCCCCTTGTTTCTGTATAATAATTATTATTACTATTATTAATGTTGTTATAATTCTTTTTAGTTTCTTTATCATAAAAGCGTTTCCTTCACTCTTCTCTAAGGGCTCTTCTTTCCCAAACTCGTTCAGTGTTAGAGAGCATAGTAAGAATTAGCAATATTAATTATAACAGAAGAATTTTCTATAGGCTCTTTTCGTCGTTTTGTCTCATTTCTAATAAGGGACTTTTTTCAAATATCTTTAACTTCAATTTCACATTCATTAGCCCCTTTACGAAGCTCCTCAAAAGTAACTTATAAATTAGCATTTGTCCTTCCTAAATCGACTTCCAGAAGAGAGAAGCCCATTTTATTAAAAAGTATGGTGATAAATATGTAAATAAGTGCTGCTAACAAAAAATTTCGTGCAAAAGTAATACGTTCCTAATAGTAATAAATATGTAAACGAGTAAGCTATTCATCGCAAATATGTAGTAAAAAGGAGAGGCCTCCTCCAAAAGGGCAAGAGGGCTGCGCGATCTAAAAAAATAAAAAAGCCAAGTACCTTTTTTAATTGAGGATTTATAGAGTACTTGAACTTTATATGTTCCAGATCTCTTTAATGTGGTAATATCATTGTATTTCGGAATTCAGTTCCGAAAAGGTGTTCTTCAATGCCGTCAAGGTTTAGCGCTTATATTTTTTAAAGCGCTTTGACCGTAGTTTCGGTCTCTTTTAGAGAGTCAGCTTTAGAGACTTAATTGTACTCTCCTAGAAAAAGAGAGCTATGGCTCAGAAAGCGCTTTCTTTACAGTTAAGGAGTAGGTAGAGTTCACAAAAGCAGATTCCAGCGCGATTCTTGGATTTATATTTATAATTGTTCGTTTTAACACGGTTTTTTATGAGTTTTTAAGTTTTTTAGTTTATACATTATTGTAAGTACGTATTTTATATTTATTTTTCTAAATGTTTAAATGTCATCGCATATCTATAACAGCGGTATTTATTGAAGGATTTAATTACTAATGCCATCGGGATCTGACGCCTTTCCTCTCAATAACGCTTAGATTATTATGAGTAGGTTGTTGATACTAAAAAGCGAGGTGACCGCCAATGAGTTCCTTGTCTGCATTGGGCTCGCTTGCAACAATGCCGTTGCACAGTAGTGAGAGTGATTCTCTTGAGAAGTTGCCACCACCTCTGATACTTCGCATTCGGTGGTAGATGCCTTCACTTTTTTTCTGATATACCAATGTAGAAGGTTTAACATCAGCTAGCCCCTCAACCCACTAAATGGTCGGGCTCACACGGAGAGGTCTCCATATACCTTGCAGAATTATACTTTTAACTTCTTAGGAAGGTAGTTAGAGCGAAACGTAACTTCAGCTGTTGTCAATGTGATTGTATAGGTTTATCTCGCCGAACTCTCAAAGTTGGTAAGGCCGTATTTTAGGACGCGTGTACTTGCTATGGCAACTTCACATATAATTTTATTTCTTGGTATATCTCTCTCAATCACCTTTACCCCGGCAAAAAGTGGACGACCACTTTAAGGGAGCGGAAAACCCGGTATGAAGTTCTAAGAATTCTAACTCTCATTTGTGAGAGCTAAGGTCTTTAAAGTTTGTTAACTCATAAATGCACAAAGGATCCATTTTTATAAAGCGCATATCTTCCATAGCCGTAGCTTCAATACTAAACATTACAATTTAAAAAAGTAAAATTATATTATATATATAAAAAAAACAAAAAATTAATAAAAAATGGAGAGATGAAAGTATAAAAAGCGCTGTAGCAATTTCTAAAATAGTTCTTGAGCTGCCTGGATTGCACAACACCGCCCATCTAATAACAAACGTTTAAAATTTAAGTGCTGTGATGGTGTCGTGACCTCGATGGCTCAACCCACATGCAATGAAAAGTAAAAAGAAGTTTAGAGTTGCGTCTTTGTTAAATTTTATTTATAACCTTGGCTAGATCTTATTTTAAATTAGTAGTTTTTTTTAAAACTTCTATGAAACCTTATACTACACAATCTGTAGATGACCTGATATTAAAAAAAAACCAAGTTGAAGAAAACCTTTTTAACCTGGAAAAACAAATATATCTTCTGGAAGAAGTGTGCGAATTACGTGTAGTAAATATTATAAAAATTATAGTAAAAGCTTAAACTGTTTAATAACTTGATAATAAATATAATAACCGGTAGTTATTAAATAACTTTATTTGATAATAATATTAATATTATGTTGTTTTTGTTTTCTTAGTTATTTTGAGGAAACCCAAAATTTGGGAAATATATTCAAGGGTTTTAATGGTTTTTTAGAAGATCTGTAAGTTATTGATAGGAGTTATATAAAAATAAAGTTTTTCTCATAATAGCTAATAGTTCTCGTAATGCTGACACAAAGAGAAATTTTCTAAGTACCAAACAATTGGGTGAAGGTTTTTTTTTTTTTTTAATATACAGTTGATTTTTAATTTAAACCATAATATTTTATTTATAAGATGAGTATATCTTCTCCAAGTCCTCCAGCATGTACACTCGTTTTCTTAGCTTGAATGATAGCCAACCGGAAGACTCAGGAAGAAAAAAAATATTTTAAAAGAAAAATTTTTTAAGATTCATTTTTTTTTTTTACCACCTCGTATTTAATATTTTTAATATTATATAGAAGTTTAGTTATAAAAACAAGTCCCAGTTTACTTGACGAAACTTTTTATCAAAGCAAGAGCTCCTTTATTTTACAAAAACTTTTTTGTCTTATATCAATAAAAAATATTATTATATACTACCTCAACTTTATTTTCTTCTTAGTGAATTTTTTTGGTTTGGGCTATTGCTTTGAAAGTTTAGCGCTAAATTTTAAAAGAAGCAACTTCTGGGTTATTGTGTAATCTCTGTTTGCCTTTGGGATGGCTTGCATCTTGGAAGAACTATTTTTATTATTTCAATATAGTTTCAAAATGTTTACCTATTTCCGCTATTAAGACTAACGTACCTACAAGATTTTAAAATTTTTTAAACTAACAAAATGCTATTTTCGTTACGCAACCTCAAAAATAATCATCCTAATTTTCTTTGTTCCGCTGACAGTAAAGTTGTACATTATTGTAAAATTTCTATAGTTTTTTTCTAAGATATAGTTATAATATCTTTATTTTTTTCGATACTACTTAATCAGAAGAAAAATACACTTTTTAGCACTTCTCAGAAAAATGAAAATTAGTGAACTACCTAGGAAATTGAAAACTAATTTAAGACCAATAAATATATCGAGTTTTTTTTTTGCTTTTTATATAAAAAATACCTATGAACGTGTAGGTTAAAGCCAATACCTAATACCCTTCTTGAATACACAGAACTTTATTGGCGACTATACCTAACTATTTATGAAAACCATTAAAAAAAAGTTTTTTAAACCGACGTCCAAGTCAGCTGGTTGTCATGCACTGTAAATACTGTGAACTAAAAAAGTTAAGCCCATCAGAAAGCAATACAAGATTTTAGCAGATCGTCAATAACATTTGGCTGCGGCTACGCTTTTTAAGGTATTTCTCATGCACATCAAAAATTCTAAGCACACCTTAATAAAAAGAATTCCATTTTTAATTTAGAATTAATTTAATTTTTATTTTAATTTATATAAGCTTGAAAGTACGTATTAAGTTCATTGAGCTACACTATGTGGATTAATGTAGTATATTTGTAGAAAAGAAGAAAAGTTAATTTTATTAAAATTTTTTCTACTCCGGGATGTGTGCTATGCTATAGTGTACTACAAAATAATAATTAATATAAGAAATATTAATCCACATTAAATAAGGCTTAGCCCGTTAACAGTGTCGAAGTTAGGACAGTCACTCCGTAAAAATGCAGAGCCGCTATATAAAAAACTACTATAAGCGTTCAAAAATACACTGCAACACAAAAATCTATTTTATTAAAAACCTTTATTCTTTATATTTATCAATACAAAACTTCTTTTTTAAAGGATCAATAAATATATTCGTATATAAGCAACGCACAAGTGGCATCTTTTAGCCCTTTTGGTCGATGGGCGAACTTAATAAGTTTTAACCGACAAAACCACGCGGAAAATAACAAAGTCACGTGAAACGAGGAGCGATAGAGAAGGGAACCTCATCCGCTGGAGGGTCGTAAGCGTTGTAGCCCTTTAAGCAAATATTCCCGCTAAAGTCTGGAACCGTTTGAAAGTTTACAAGGTGCTCCTCTTCTTCTTCAACCTCGGGAAACTCTACAGGAATATAATCGTCGAGAGCCTCCGCGGGTAATGCTTTATCCTGTTGCTTTCCCAAGGGTTTCGTGTAGTGAATCAAACGGCACTTTTTCCCCTAAAAAAAAATATAAATATTAAACAAATTATATATCTATTATTAAAAAAAAAAGAGCTGAACTTGAATTGAGTAATAATATTGAATAATTATAAACCCGCGGGCAAGTTCGTTGGTTATTATTAAAATCAGGGCAAAATATAAGATGCCGCTTTCTACACAAGCGCCCACCTGGGCAGTAACCTTTTAATATAACAGTATTAATAATAATAGTAAGTATAGCCGGTTGACAAAAAATTCGTAACCGCTGGCAAAAGCCTCGCAAATGGGGCTGTGCGGGTCAACTTTCACGTGGAGGTAAGGGCACTTGTCGGCTGAGCATCGGCCCTGAAAGAAGAATAAAATTGAAAATTAAAAAAAGCAATATAAAACTTCTATATAGAAACTGAGTTGTTTCCCTTTACTACTTTTATTAAAAAAAAACAGAATATGGCCCTCTTATTACATTTTAACAAAAATAATTAAGCCAATACAAAAAAATATTTACATAAACTGACAATCATTAACAATTTTGTTACTCTTATATATATATAAATAATTATCTATAATAAATATACAGATTAAAATATATACTTAAAATCTTCCTTGCTAATAAATATATCGTTAAATATAATTTTTACTCCATAAAAACTTAACTTTTATAAAATGTGTTAAATTTTATAAAAATAAATATATAATAATTCTATTAACACTTTTGTATTCTTCAATTTTTTTCTTTTAAATCTCGTATAGCGAAAAAAAGGAATTTTTTTTTACCACCAACAAAATTATAATTTATAAAAATTTTAGGTAAAATTTTAAAAAATAAATTGAATAAAGACAATTAAAAATGAGTAGAATAAGATTTTGTTTATAATAATGGAAAAACAAATTTATAATAAAAATTCAAACAATTACTTTATTGAAATGCAGACAATGAGGCATCCGATCGCTGATTAACGAGTGCGAGAGGGGACATTGGTCCTTTGAAAGTAAACACTTTCCTTTAATAAACTATTTAAAATGTAATTCTAATAAAAATCCAAAAATATTAAAATTAAAAACAATTTATAATTATAAATTTTTTTAAAAAAAATTATCTAATTATTTAAAAAGTAAAATGGTCTACTTAGAATTTAAAATTATAGATATACACTTTACAGAATTATTAACTTCTTATAAAGTCTATAAAAATAATTTATAAATTAATAATTTTATATATATAGATTAAAAAAAATTATGTTAATTAGAATAAATTCAGTGACACATTATGTACTATATAATAAAAATTTATATTTTGTAAAGACGGTTGAGAAAATATAAACACATTTTAAAAATTATTATATAAATAATTTATAAGTTGTTCATACACTAAATCTATAATTTCAATATGATTTTTAAAAAATAAAGTTATGTATAAGTAATTATAAAAGAACTTGAGACGTAATTGAAATTAAACGTTTTATTCACGTAAAGTATAACCTGATCTTACTAAAGTCCTTATTGTAGCAAATAATAAAACAAAAACTTTTTTAATTAGCAACTAAGTTGTGAAGTTTTTTTTTGTTATTGAAAAACTACAAACGAAATTATTTTAAAATTACTAAAGTTTAATACTTTTAAACAAACGGCGATCTTCGAGATATCATGCACAAAAGGGCAATTAGGACGCTGGCAATGACCTAAAATTCTTCAATAACAAAATAACTTACATTCGTTGTTCAAAAACAAACCAAATTTAGTATAATAATAGCAAAGTCCCCTTCCAGATGTTAAATTGTTTGCTATGGAAGTTCTTAAACGTAATAAAGTAAGTAAAGAAGTTTTGATAATTTTTTATAGTAGTTATTAACAGCAGCATAAAACTAAACTAAATAAGAGGATGTCGGGGTTAGATATTAATATAAAAATAACTTTATAAAAAACTCTAAATTTATTAAAGATATAAAATAGAAAAATAATAAAAAAATATACATACTTTGGTATAGCGCTATTGGAAATTTTCAAAATGCTTTTTTTCGAAAGAACGGTTATTTTAGAAGCTTAAAAAAAAACTTTTAAAAATGTTAACAAAAACATTGGTTCGATTACGTGTTGATATTTTTTTCTTGACTAACAACGTATCTTTCACTTTTTTTTTCTCTTTAAAAGCCTGTTGAATCTTAGAAGCCTCTTTTTTAATCTTAAAATCTAAATCTTGTTTCTTAGAAACATTAAGTAAAGCTAAAAAGATAATAGTAATTGTAAAAATATCGATAAATGGTTTATATTAATTATGCCTTGAACTTCTGCTATTTGTTTTAATAAGCGTTTTGGATCTCTTTTAGAGCCTCCCTCACTAGTCATAACGTCGCTCTAAAAATATATAAAAGCGTCGGACTTCAAAATCAAAAAATAGAGCTGTCCCAGAAAGAGGAATTAGTAGTCACGCGGAGCCCACCAATTAATAGGAGAGAGCCTGGCTAAATTATTCGTCTTTTTGCTTTACTAAAAAGGAAAAATAAGTGACTGTTTTTATAAGGGGTGGCTCGGGGCTCCCCGGGGGAGGGGGGGTAATTAAATTATTAACTTACTAAAAACAAATTAAAAGAGTAATATAATAAATTTATATGAAAAAAAAAGTGATTTCTAAGTCAATAGGAAACAAATTTTCAGATTTAATAAACTGAATTAAAAAAAATATATAAAAATTTAAAAGACCATTGTGAAATAAAAAAAAACTACCTTTTTTAAATTTCTGTTATAACCATTTTATTTTGAAATTATTTGTTTTAGTTTATTAAAACATACGATATAAAAAACTAAGTCTATTATAGCCAACACGATTTTGTAAGAGGCTTTACATAGTAAATAATACAATGTTTAGTGATCGCCGTGAGCACTTTATATTGTCGTGATCTACCTTTTTACGAGCGGTATACTTTCCCTAAAATATATAGCATTACATTCATTCAGAGGAAGAAGCAATTTTGCTGATTATAAACTTCTCTCTATTAACAAAAGCGCTTTTTTCTTTTTTAACTACTATTAACTCCTAGTACTTTATATCACTTATACACAATTTTTAAAACTATATTTTATTTATGAGTTTTTAAGAACTGAGCTGACTAAACATAGGTAACTAGTAATATGAACTTTTTAATAAGTTCAAGCAACTTTTTACTTTCGCGACTCGAATATAAAACTTAATTTTACTTAACTAATAGAAAAAATTATATGATCTTTTAACAACTAGATTATCTGGTAATGTAGTGACCAAATAAAGTTATGTAATTACTCAATAGGTTTAATATAAGTTAACTATTAAAAAAATTATGAACTCCCAGCCTACAACTCTTCAAAAGCCTGTATAAGAAGACAGGCGTACAGCACAAGTCCACTTCTTGCTTTCTTCTTTCACCCATATAATATACTTCCTTTTCAAAAAGTTAAATATTTAGCACCTAGCGAAACTAACACAATCACCAAAAAACTTAATAAAAAATGCTTCTTATAAGTGAAGCAGTTAATGAAAATTTATCCCTGTCTTTAATTAATTCAAAAACTTGCTTAGCATATTTCCATAGTTTTATAACTTAACAACCATATTTCAAATAAAAAAAAAATTTACGTTTAAATTTACGTTGGTATCATAATTTCTGCTAATAACAAATTATATATACCAAATTAAAAAGGGTCTCTGTGAAGTGTTAATAAGTTATTATAAATACCCAAAGCGTTAAAAACGTGGGTCGCCCTCAGGGAAGGTAAAAATTTTAATAATGAGGTGTTCTAATGGGGCTCCTCCTTTCTGATGAGGACCTCATAATCGGTGAGACCTGGCTGGCGGGTGATGGCCTGGGTCTCCAGGTGGTCTCGGGTCTTGAGCCTAATACTCCCGGTGGTGATTTTTAGCGGTTTTCCACAAACTAGTCCGAATGGCGGAATTCCAGGCGCGATATTTTCCCATCTTCAGTCCTTCGGGGCAGTCATTAGAGTTCTCTAAAGAGCGTACACTGGTAGGCATTCGCGCTCCAACCCCTGCAGAAGAGGGGAATTCAGGTTAAGCTGCTTAAGGTTTGAAGAAAACAGGCCGTAGTATAACAAAGTCAAAAAAAAAAATGAGTTCTGGTTAGAACGTTGCTAACACGAGTAATGGTCGTAAGAAGAGTAATATTGTAAACTTAAGAAGGATTAAATGTACATAAATAAATTACAAGACGCCGTTCTTACCTCTGTCTTCCTCATAACCTTTCTAAAAGTTCGCTTTTCAATCTGCTATGCCAAAAAGAGAAAATATTAACTGCTGGGTGAAAAGATAAAGTTGCCGAAATAAACCGCCCACAAAGAAATAATTTGAAAGGTTTAGGTTAGCCTATTAGACTAAATTTGGGAGCATACTGTTTATTTTACCTGCGAAAAGTTAAAAGTAACTTTAAATATGATAGTCAAAGGCAAATTTAAATTTCCTTATATAGGCAATATAAGTGTCTAACTTTTTTCAGGCAAAATATTAATAGTTACCACTTTTTGAGACCCTGCTCTAGCAGTAGGATAAAACTCTCCCTAGTGACCTGTTTGCCATGGCACCCCTTGTGATGAGTAACACACCTCGAAAATTACTTTCTAAGAGCAGCAGCCGCTGCTTGTGCAAAGGGTAAGCGACGAAAAGGAAAGCGTTACCTCCGCTTACGATGCGCTATGAGACTTCATTCATGCAACTATGCAGCTTTAACACACTTTGTACGCGGTAGATAAGAAATAAATCACCTAGTAAGAAAGATTCGTGGAGTAACTACAATAGACATATATAAAAAGCACGACACATCGTAACACCGCTATTAAGCAATAATAATTTAGGTTTACTCTACTTAAATTTAGAAAGATGATGTTCTTTTCACAGGTTTTCGAAAGTAATAAACGTATATATTGCGCTCTGCCTGTCAAATGGTTTCTGTTCTAATGCTATTGTTTATTATAGCTTCTTTTCGCTCTTTAGCTGGTATTCTGGTTCGTTAAATGATTCAGGCAGCAGTACAAGAAGCGAGTTAGGGCCTTACTTTGTACTCACGAAGTTTTCTTTTTAACAATCGTGTATTAGTTTCTAGCTTTGTCTAAATTACTGAGGAATTATTTTTATATATTCACTAAAAACTGTTAGGTAGTATCACATTAAAAAGAAAACTGTTGCATGATGTGCTATAAATTATTCAGTTATTTTTTATATATATTATATAACTCGCACATTTGAATTCTCTTTTGCCTGGGCTCAAAGAGTGTTGTATTTAGTTTATATGATGGTTTTTAACCTAACATTCCATAAAACTTACTTTACTAATACAGTGTCAAAACATATTTTACTCTGTAAAACGAACGTGGCATCAATATTATTTTCAAAATACTTTTTTAGCTTAAATTAACGCGAGCGCTGAGTATTAATTTTATTTTAACTTCTTTAGTTAAATATGATGAAAGTAGCTTTCAATTTTATTATATTATTTTTGATCAAGTAAAAGTATAAGTGCTAATCTCGGTAAAATAAATCAGTTTAATGTAATTAGTTAAAAATCTTTAATAACTAAAAATATATACTAATTTTTATTTTAAAATTTATTAATTTGAATTTTTTTTCGAAATTTTTTCTATTTAATAAATTTTTTGGTGATTCTTCATCTAAAAGTTTAAAAAGTATAAAATTTGTTAATAAATGATTGTTTTTTTGTTACTTTTTTTTAGGGCGCACATGCCCGCCAAGTTAGCAGCTCTTGCCGAGACCAGTGTCTAAAAAAGAATAAAAGTTTTGGAAATCTTTTGGAATCTGAAGTTGAGCCAATTAGTTTGGAAAAAGACGAGATGTTCACAAAAGGCAAATCGCTTTTAACTTTAAAAAGTTTTAATTTATAGTTCGTTATATTTTATAAATTTTTTAAAGATCTTAAAATTTTTTAAATATTTTTAAAGCTTAAAGTCAAAACTTATAAATTTATTTGTTTATATTAAATTTATAAATAAAGTTAACAAATTAGTCACTTTCCAATTAATTTTTATAGGCTTAAAGGTTTTTTCAGTGAATTTGGTAAGGTAGTTTTTAACGATGTTCCTTTAAAAATAATTCTATAAACATTATATAGTAATAAAAAGTATGTTTTTATCAAATTTAATTATAAACTAGTTAAATGGCTTAAATTATTATTAAGTTTTATAAGTTCACTCTTAAAATTTCTACTTTTAAAAGTTTTAAATTTCATAATAATAGATTTTGTATTTACTAATTTTTATAATTTTAGATTAGATTTTTTATATTTTTAGCTTTTAAAATGAAATAAATTTAAGAAACTTTTAGGACATTTATTTCATATAATTCCTAATTTCCTTAAATTATAGGAGTTTATTTATTTCAAAAATTTTTAAATTAATATAAATATTACGAATCTACCGTTTACAAAAATTTAAAATATAAATTTCACTTTACTTTATTAAATTTTTTGATTTTAGAAAAAAATAAATAAGACAACTTTTAGTCCATTAACATTTATTCGTAATCTTTTTAATAACTTAAGTGAATATAGTACTTATGTTTTTAAAGTAAAATTGTATCAGTCAGTTAATATTTCAAAGCAAAGTTTGCATTCTTATTTCTCTTCTTCTTGCAAACTCGTACTGTATATGCTTTCTTTCAAATAGAAGCCTAAAATATAAGATTTACTGAATCACTTTGACCCTGTGAGGATAGTATACTAGTAAATTATAAGCTAAGTTTCTAGTAGAGTACACATATTGAAACCTATAGCTTTCATGCCTTAGTACTTGTTCGACATAAGGAACGGCCCTCTACAGGCGTGTCGATATCGAGCACAACGTGGCTACCTACAAGAATTGTTACTATAATAATAGTCTTAACAATCAGTGCAGGCAACTAAATTTCGATTGCAATAGCGTTTGCTAAGGGCATCATTAAGAATGCTGCAATTAGAACGTGAGTAATAAGTTCCTATCGATTAATGTTTTCCTGTAGACCGGGCACTAGTGATAGGAATAATAAGCTGAATATCTTTTTTTACGGAGTATATATTTATTTATCGTAGTATATTAATAAGTCAATAGTACATGACCTTTTTTTTCATTGTTTCCCGTAAATAACGTTTAAGACGCTATCCTCTGTTTAGTTAATATATATGCAAAAAAGGCCATTTGTATAACTTCTATGCAATAAAATCCAACCTTTCGTCTGATACCTTTTTTTGCACCGTAAACAAATGTATAACCGAAAGACACAAATATTCCTGAACTTTTTTAGTATGATTCTCAAATTACTTCCCACAAATTCTTCGAAAGGCAGGAAACATTGTAACTAGCTTTCCAACGATTGAGTAAATTTATATTGTGCTTGACTTCTAAAATGGCTCTAGTGCATAAGGTGAGCTTAATATTTAAGGTTTCATTATTGCTCAAGCAGCACCTTCTTTTACCTTTTCTAAAACACCCTATTTGTAAAAAAAATATATATTAATGTATGTGTTTCCTTTCTCTTGTCTATGACCAAACTTTAAACGAAATAAATAATTGCCAATTAAGGGATGCTTTTTTAAAAAAAAAGTATCAAAGGCAGTAAGAAAAGTTAACGTGTTAAAAAAATCAACTGGTGAGCCAAAAGTCATCTCCTAAAGTTGTATAGATACTTACTCTTTTAATAATTTATATAAGTCAAGTCTACAAGCTGAAATAATAAAAATAATATTTATTATGAGTTATGAATTAGTAATCTCACAATCAATAAATTTGTGTAATTATTAATAAATATAAACTTTATTGATTAGAATTAGGTGATCTTTTCCTGCCAAAGCCCTTAGAAGAAGGAGCGAAGCGCTTATTGTATTGCATTCTCCTCTTAGCACGACCAGTCAACTTTTTTTTTAAACGCTCCTGTTTGGGGACTTTCGGGGTAACCTTCCTCACTTTTCCAGCACGAGCTAAACCACCGTGCATTTTACCTATAATAAAAGTTTGAAGTAGCCGTGTGTTAAAAAAATTATTAAACTTTTAAATTCATAAATGGTGTAAGTATAAAAATAATTATTAAATTAAAATAAACATTCAAACCAATAAAAAATTTATATAAATATGAAAAGACCTCCAAGGAGTTCAGCAGAAACTTCATAACTAACGCCCGGCATGTTAACTCGCAGTGCAAAGCTAAGATAACTGACTTCTTAAAATCTCTTAATAACAAGGAAGGAAACCAGTCACGCTTGCAAAAATAAAAATTTTAGAAAAAGGAGAAAATTATATTTGGTATAAACTAATTAAAAACCACCACTTAATCATGGTTAACAGTAATGCGCACGTGGAGAAAGGGCGTATTGCACAAGCCAACCTCTGAGTAAAAATTTTTTAATTTTGAAAATGTTATATTAGTGTAACTGTTGTACATACTTGATAGTTTTAGGGGTTAAACAGTGCTTTACTTAGTTGTTTTTGTAATTATTATAGTTAAAAATGAACACTGCTTTTTTGAGTAATTCAAAAGAGCTTACCTTTGTCAGGTCAAACTTTAAAATAGTTAATTAATTACCATTCTAGCCCCAAAAAAGCTTATGTATGCCCTACAAAAAATTTTGTGCGAAAAAAAGACAACTTGTTTTAAAACAGTTTGTTTATATCTTGAAGAGTATTAAACAATAATTTAATTAATTATGGGGTTGAGAACGTTCGGGACTACGCGTACATCGTCTTAAAATGAACAAGTTTTAACACTAGCATTGCTTAAAATAAAGGTAACAAAATAAGAGGCTAGTTTTTGACATTACTTCTCTTTTTGAATTGTTTAATTCATAAAATTAGTGTGTATAGAAAGGAGTAACCAACTTGTAACACCCTTCTTACAACTTGTATTTTACTTGTTTTTATCAGTCTCTTCTTTTTCTTAAATTTCCTTTTTTCATGTGGTAGTCATCAAGTTTCGTAAATTATATTTATTATGCTTTCATTTAACAACACATCATTATTAGTATGCATTTAACTTCATAAACAATATGTCGTTCCTACTCGGAGAGAGTTGTAACGAAATTTTTTTTCATCGTAAAATACAGTGCTTACTTTATCAGTACGCATGTTTTACTTCTGACCTTATATCGGCTAGTAGGAAGCTTTCAACTGGTCCCGATGGCAGTACTAATGGGATGCTTAAAAAGTTTTGCCATCTTTTTCCATTTTCCAGCTTCTGCAATGTCATTTGGTTCGTTTCGAACACGATGGAAAATATATACTATATTGATGCCATCCAACAAATATCGAACTATCAGCCTACTTTCAGTAGTGGGAAAAACCGTAAAGGCTGTTCTAGAAAACCAGCTGAAAGACTTTAGCGAAACACAAACCGCTTCCAGAATTACACTAGATTTCGAAGATGTCTCTCCACGACGCAATAACTGTTGCGCTTTGTTGAGTGGACAACTTGGAACTTCAATTATAATTTATCACCTGGTCGTCTTTCACGTAAAAAGGTTTATAACCGAGTGAGGCAGGAGGGCCTGTTACATTAAATACGCGTATTAGGTCCTTCATTAAGCCTCGGTAACATGCTTGCATTTATATGCGGGCGAACTTTTTGAGTAATATTTTTGCGCTGTTATCAACCGTTTACTGACAACTGGCGTTTCGCAACGTTCTCTGGTTTCACCCTTTACGCCGATGACAAAACACCTTAAAAACCTCTCGTAAATACGGCAATACCAAGCTACTTGGAAACACTTGCCAACCGATGCAGCAGTGACAAGTAATTATTAATGCAGAGAAAAGCAGGGCAATATTCATTTTAAATGGATGCACTCCCTCCACCCTCGACGATGATCCTGTGGGGCTCTTTCAGATCAAATACTTGGGCGTCATAATTGATAACCGACGAACTTGGCGGCAACCACGCACTTGACCGCGGCTGTGTGCAAAAGGATAATTTCTGTACGTTATAAACTGTGCCTTGACACAGTGTTTGTACTTACGTATTTATTGCTTGGACGTACGAATAAGCATTGAGAATTGCACTTCTGCGACTTATGACCGGCGAATTGTATTTTGTATGCAATAACACGTTGTAGGACGGCCTGAGTAAGGACGTTTATATTACTTATTATTTATTCCGAAACGCAACTAATGTTTCTAAGTTTGTAGGCATTCAAACCACTAGCTGTTCGAAATATTGCACACGAACTGTTTAGAATTTAGTTACTTTACAGCACTAACTTGAAAATTTAATATTTGAGGGTAGCTATATAATTTGCATTGAGAGGTATGATATATTTTATAACTTTCACTACATAACTAACTTCTCCTCTACACGGCTTGTATACGTCCGGTGTTGCCGTATACCTCTATAGCTTGGGCTTATTCTTCGAGGAAAATCTTAAGAGGGTACAATTATTTCAAAGTAGGTGCTTTCAAATGACTCAAATACTCCTTGGTTTTTGAGCAAAAGTTAGATACATCGAGACTATCAACTGGAACCTATAGGTGCCCTTACAATAAGCCGCGCACAACCATCTTCAATGCTTACAGCTAACGCATCAATAAATTGCTATCGGAAACGTTCAAGTACTATCCCAGTCGGTATCCTAAATACAAGCAGCCCGAAACATGTAATAGTCAAGAGCTTGTAAAATATCCAGAAGCCCAGTCGGTATATAATGCACGGGTCGTTAAGTAAACTTTCTTACTGTTCATAGGGATACCCCCGCGAGTTTTTTTTGTTTTGTTTTGTCTTGTTTTTTCCTTGTTGGTTATAAAAACCATCCGCCCTACAATACGAAAGGAAGATAGATTAAGCAATTAAGGGTTTTGTGACCTCTAATGTAGCATGCCATTTTAAAAATAAAAAAAAACTTGGTCCATTCATTTTTTGTACTCTGCTCGTTCTTTTTCGGTGTTGAGCGTAGCTTTGTTGTTGTAATTTTACGTTAGTATAGAGGATCAGCAATATTGTAAAGGTATAGTTTTAGTCTAGAGGGCTAGAGAGCATTTTAAACGAGGTTAATAAATAACTTAATCTAGAGGACAACAAATTAAACATTATGTTAACTAGTTTTACCAGATATTTTGAACACGAACCCTAGATAAACGCACGCTCCTGACAGCTCCGCGATGCTCTTTAAGCGCACACTTATTGTAAACCTTCTCATACAAAATGTATATGTATCTATAGAAGGATTAGAGGACTTGCGAAAACTGAATACAAACTACACATTACACTGAGTTATTAGCGAAAAAAACTAAGCAACCTGCACTTGATTTTACCGAGCATCTCTACAAATTTCCAAAAACGATAACTAAGCCCCTTGCCTTATATATTTTTACAGTGAAGCGCGTATTGTGTCTTTCTATATATGATTCTCTCTTGTGTTTTTAGTCCTTTTGTTTTCTTAGTTTATGCATTTTTTTTGAGCTTATTTGGTACTCTTTTATGATATATCTACATATATTAACATCGGCATACTACGGCTGTCTTCAGAACTTAAGTTGGTTAATCTGAATTACCCTCTTCCGCAGGGCATGGGACAGGCACGCTGGCCCACCAGTGTACGCTCTTAGTGAGCTATAATGACTGTCTCCAAGGACTGAAAAAGCAGAAGATATTGGGGGGATTCTCACCATTCGGCCTAAAGTGGGGAAAACCGCTTAAAACCATCACTGGAAAGGTACCCTTAGGCACAAGATACCAGATTACCTGAAGACACCCGCCAGCACCACTGCTAGTCAGGCCTCCTCGAGTATGAGCTCCTCAACCATAAGGGAGGAGCCCTTTATTATATTTTTGTTTATATAACAAATTATGTATTTTGTTTCTTTTTTCTAATTATTCTTTTACTAATAACGTTTTTGTAGCTTTTAAGCGCTTTTTTATCATCAAAAAATCTTTATCATTTTAAGATCCTAAAAATAACTCAATTTATAGAGGCTGCTTTAAATTCCAGCACATAGTCTGGCAAACAATTAGGGGAGAGGGCCTATACAACTTTTATGCTGGTGGAATTGCATTAAGATGCAAGTCATTTTTTTTTATTTGCAAAAATAATATTGTTTATTATTTAATAAAATTAATATTATATTCAACTCATAGTCGAAAGGATGACTTAGTCTATATTATATATAGACAGGGCTTTAAAGAAAAAGGAATTCAATGCAGAATATTAACTCTAACCAATCATCAAGTCATTCATTTTACAATTTTAAGTGCCATTTCAATTGGGTCAAAGAAATAATCCACGTAATAACAAAATAATTTAACGGTATAATATTATTAGCGTGTAAGAAACTTCCCTCGAGCGCTGGGACTTTAATAAACTAAAAGGTTTAATATATCCAATGTGTTAAATTAAAATTTCGTACTTTGAAGAGAAAGTTCTAAATAAACAGTAATGCGGAAAATTTTTGTTTTTTTTGGTGGATGATGTAGTTGTGGCAGTAAAAAACTTTTACCTTATCAGCATTTAAAAGCAAACCTTTTTTTATATATATCGTAGGTCGAAAAAAATCGTTTAAAAGTAAAAGTACAAACAAGTCACATGTCCAGAATAATTAAATTTTATTCAATGCTTACATTACTTGCTTTTAGCAATATGTATTGGCGACCTCAAAACCGCTAAATATGGTCATAAGAAAAGGTTTGTTAATAAGGTGCATTAAAAAGCTGATGCTTTTAGAAAAATAGATTTATTAAGATGGTTCTGTCCTCGCGCAGCGGGAAGAAAATTAACTAGCTCTCTTCTCTTATATACGTGACCTTGAAGCCGTTAATTGTTCTATATAATAGCACTTTTTAAAATAAAGGGATTTTTAGTTCATTTTATTTTTGTGATTTTTATTTATTTTATTTACCTGATTTTATTTTACTAATTCATATTATATTTATTTCCTATTTCGAAACTTCCCTAAGTACGGATAAATGAATAATAACATTTTTATAAGACAATGTTTTTATTTTTTGGTCAATTTTTTTTTAAAAGCAAGAATGCCTTTGGCGTTGTCTCATTTTACCTCTGGCATTCAGTGGGCAACTGACCTGGGTGCCCATGTGCAGTCGATTTTTAAAAATTTTTTAGTTCTATAATTTTTGCTTACTGCTTGGCTTCATTGAGCTGGCATTGGTGGTAGAGCGGGTGATTTTCTCGCGACTATTTAAAATGTGGTTTGTTTTGGAGGGGAAAGAAACCTGATTTATTTTTTAATTTATATCATTTAGGAATTTTACTTTTCTCTGTCGGTCGGCGGTGCTTTTATTAGTATTGATTCCCAGTTTGGCTGGTCTTTCCTATATTTAACTTAGAGCTTGCTTAGCTATATTAATTTCTACTTAATTTTTAGATCTGCAACCTTTAGATTTTTTTTCAGATAGCCTTGATGCTCTTAAAAAAACTGCGGAAGGTGTCAGCGAATTTTGTGCAGAAAGTTTTAACTAATCAAAACAATGATTGCTTCGTTTTAACTTATTGCTTGGTTAGCTATATTAATTTCTACTTAATCTTTAGATCTGCAAATTATCAGTAAGATTTCAGAAGGCGCTGATGCTATAGGAACTACCGCGACACAATTTGTCGACAAAGTTAAGGAGAAAGCTTTACCTAATCAAAACGATGATTATTTCGGAAGTTCGTTAGCAATTACCTTAGTATTTATACTTAGTAGTATATTCTGCTAACGTATAAGTTAATTTCTTTTATTTATTTTATAATCTTACTGTTAATATTAAATTTATGCGATCGCAATTTTCATACTTAATAAAGAAACATGTTTATTTAACTTAATCATTTATCCTTATAGTTGTGAAAAGCCTTTATTTGACAACAAAAACAAATTTTTATATTAAGACCACTATTATTGAAATCTTAAATTTTTCGCTTCAAGTTTTATTAAAATGTAGACCTAACTTAAATATGGTGCCTAGCCGGGATTTTAAGTGAAAGACTTTAATATATATCTGCAGAAACTTTTAATAATTACATTTATTATAATACTTGGACATTAATTAGCAGGAGTACAGTAACGAAAACTTTTTGAAACAGTTTTGTAACCAAGAATTTTTTTCCACATGTTTTATTTGTTTCCATATTTCAAAAAATATATTTGTATAAGCGATAGAGATAGAGAATAAAGTAGTCCTTACTTTTTTATGTCAGTTAGCTTAGTGAATTTTTAGGGTTAGTTTATATTTATTTAAAAGTTATGTTATCGACTAAAAAGATAACTAAGACCTACTAAATGCTTCATTATAGTGCGTGGCCGAGAAGTGTAGAGTCATTGAGTTTTTTGAATCCGCCTTTCAATTTTATTGAAGCTAGCAAAAAATAATTTTGCCGTTAATATCACCTTCCAGAAGAATTGTACGTATTTCCTTCCAAAGCAGCGACAATTATAGGATACACCAGTTGTTAAGAGAAGCTATTTTGCGTGGTTTTTTTTCTGCAGAAGTTTTCGAGATGCCTAAATTTTAAAGAGAAAACAACTTAGGTACTGTAAGTGAGAATATAAACTAATTTACCTCTTTTCGGCATCCTGTCCGTTTAGGTATCATGTTTATTAATTAAAAATTCATACGCCTCCAATTTATTCAGTTTTTATAATTTGCTTCCGAATCACTCCCTATTGACATATAGTAAATTTATGTAAAGGTATCAAGTTACTGGTTATGATTTATTAAAAGACTTCAGATACGGTAACAACTTATATAATAAGTTTAAAAACGACTGAGGAGCACAAAATCACAATAGTTGATAGAAAGAGTTGACATGTGCGAGGAACCGTATGCATCTATCTGGCGTTTTGCTCTTCAATAAATAGAAATAAAAAAACAACCGGTGTACGAGGCGTATCTTAGCAGCACTTAAAAAGTAATAATCCCCTTTTTAAGCACTAAATAAGAGGACTGTTTTGTTTCTGGTATAAATCTTATGTCTATTTTATATATGCAAAATATAAAAAGTTCGTACCTTGAGAAAAATATTAAAGCATATACACAAATTTTCATTAAGAGATAACTGTTTTGCTAAACTTTTCCAGGTAAGAACGAGCTCGCAAGCTAACTGAAGCTGGCATAAATAAAGCTTGTTTATATATATATTGTTTATTTAAGAAATTGGCCTCTATAGTCGAAAATATACGTCCTTTTTGATACTTAGTTCATATTACCTTGGAAAAAAAGAATTGGTAAATAGCCTTCAGAAGAAGGCAAAGTTAACCTTTTATGATAATCTTACACAAATTACATATTTTTTACTCAATGAGTTCAAGATATATATATATGTGTTCACATATACATAAAGATGGACTTTGGGTTATTGGTCCTAGGTTTAACTAAATGTAAACAAGTTATTGTCAAATCTTTAGGGCGAGCTTACATTTCCCTGATGGAGCTTTCATGTCCACACTAAAGAAGTGACTTTCTTGTGAAAGACTTCCGTTGACAAAGGTCTGTAAGTGTAATTAAAATTGAACAGTACTTGAGTTAAATATTTCTTTTTTCGTTATCATTTTGAAAAAATGATAGTTATTACGTATCTAGATGTCCGCGTGCCACGACAAATTATTTTTAATGTGTATAATGGGTCAATTATCGTTGATGGTGCTACCTGTTTAATAAAAATTTAGGGCCTTGTCATATAATTTATCTGATAGGCTAGTAACGATTATTCGTCGCAGACATCGGGCTCGTTGTTGTAACTATGCTCTACAGACGGAGATAACACTGTAGCCGTTAGCTATTGCCCTTTATATAAAACAGTTGATAGTCCTATCCCATAACCACCGGCCCTTTTTTTTAAAATTATAATATACATTTATCCTAAATAATAATATAGAATTATGTAAATTATATTTGTGCCAGGAAGTTTGTAATTAAATGTATTGTAGGCATAGTAGAACCAATAATCAATAATTGGAAGGCAGCTATAATTTTGAATGTAGTTTATAACCTACAAGATAAAATGATGTTCTCTAAGGAAGGAAGGACCTAAAAAAGTTTGACTACATAATGATATACTTAAAAAATTTATAAATATAAGAGCTAAGAAAAAAGGAGCCTTATTAAGATATGAAAAGTGTGAACCAAAAGTTTATGGAAATGGTAAAGTGAGCGATGTCAAATAAGTAAATTTTAAGTTGAAGAAATGAGGATCGAAGTCCAGGTAAAGGTCTATATAAGTCTGAAGTTTATCTAAAGGGGCTTAAAGGGGAGAACGCATCCTGTGTGCATTAAAGAAATTGTAAAAAGCTCTAAAAAGTGGATTTTTCAAGGTACATACCATTTGAAAACCAATAACATCATTAATAATGTTTATATGAGCGTGCGCGCAAGCAGCGTGTAAAGCAATTTAATAGAGTTCTATACCTAACCTCTTTTTATTATATATAATTTAAAAACTCTCATTAAATCGTCTGAAACTACACGAAGTGAGGATTTAGAAAGAAATAAAGGAAAATAATATTAAGATAAAAGTGTGAGCTGGATCGCTGGATTTAAAATTGGAGTGGGCGCTGTTATATTAATGTTCTACGAGGAAAAAAATAGGAGGGTCCCCGGTCGTTGTGGTAAAAGCACCTAGAAAAATTTGAATCTGGATGTTACAAAAGCTATTAAAGCGCCATAAAGAGAGCTAAAATTACGACTTGGGCTCATATTAACCAAACTTGGGGTACTTAGACACAAGGCGTAAAAGTGAGCTAGCTTTTCCGTCTCATATTGTTTGGACCACCCGTTCACCGACGAATTTTAAGTTGCTTTAATGTATATATTCGGCAAGGTGGCTTTAGTTTAACTTAAAGCACAAAGTTAAGCCTTGGAAAAAGATAAAATTTATGGCTTGTCTTTGCCTAGTCATGAGTGGTAAAATACTCTACTTCCACTGCTACTAATTTTACTTAGAGTTGCACCTTGAGGACGGTTTTTTATGTTAAAAGACGAGTAGCGTGGCCAGCTATTCGTACCTAAAAGCTAGTGACACAACCTGTAATTCGAGGTTTAGTGTATCATTGTGAACATATCACGGTGCTTTTATTGAAAGCGCAGCTGTTTACTATCTTAAAGCGAGGATGTATTGTTAATTAGTTGTAGGTTCAGACATTATGATTAGTCAACTGCACAACACATGCTGCGCTTTCCTATTCGCACAAAAAAAGCTTACTTTTGCTGGGCAATAGACGATATAACGACTGGTTTGCTGCTTTGACCTTTACTACCAAGTAATCACTTGAGTACGCCACGAACAGCGAAGAATCTATAATGACCTTAAAATACACCACCGAAAGCACCAGAAAATTTCCTTGCCAACGACATGGGGAGCACAATGCGTCTTTATAATAGGAAGCTCTCCACTCTTTACATCCTTGTAAAAGAACCTCAATGAGACGATACCAGCTAGCAATCGCATTAGTTTGAAGCCATCCAGGAAACAAAGCAGGAAAATTATTTTTTTTCTAGACTTGCTCCCTGCTATACATCTTTGACAACTACACTTGAGTAACAAATGAAAACCGGTATTGCCTCTAACTGGTAAGTTTTAAAGGCGATGGCGTGGTATATATAGCGGAAATAAAAGCGAGTTATCTTTTAAGGTACTATAAATTTTAGGGGCTATTAGTTTATTTTTTATCCTATCAATTATTTGAATTTTTATTTAGTTCCATATATTATATATCTTTTTTTAATGTCTTTATATAAAGTGATTTTTATAAACATTATTGAAATACAGCTTAAAATTAAAATATTTTTATATAGCTCTAAAAAAAAGGTTTAACAACCGATAGTGAGCATGCTTACCCAGCAGGGAAAGTTCAATTAAAGAAGGTCTTTTTAAATGGAAGAGAAACCTCTTTAAAAAAAAAAGCTAATAAATTTATAATAACTGCCTTAAAAAAATTATTTTTACCACCTACTTTATTTTTTGTGCCTCTGAGCACATAATTTAAGACGTATTAACCCAGCCGGTTATAAAGTTCTTTCAAGATGAAAAGAGCAAAAATGTGGTTGAATAACAAAAATACGGAGAGTTATTAATGTTAATGTTAAAAGAACTACCTTTAAGCTAAGTAGCAAAGAACATAGAACAGATCGTAGGAAAAAGGAAACTAAACGAGGACACTAAGAATTCTAAGCTCGTAGTAATAGAATTAAGCACAATAATCGAGAAGAAAGAACTTAAAACACCTAGAGATAGAACTTTAATATATAGAGCAATATCTGTTTCATCGAAGAGAAGAAGAGAAAATATTAATTTGCTCATTACAACTAAATAAGGTTATATTTCACCATAAGCGCTTGAGGCGTTAACTAAATTGAAACCTTCGAATTATAATTAAGATAAACGGATTGATCTATTCTAATAAGGCATTAGAGAAAGCTGATATGAGGTTATTACCATAACACAAAAGTGGGGTATTGCAAGTATACCACAGGAATTTTCTTTGTCACTTTTTATTAATAGGTATAATATTACAGAAGTCCAATTGTTAATTTGTTGCTTTTCTGAAGGTTTAAAAGCTAGTAATACTATGATGCATTTTTTAGAATAAAAGCTGTAAATAGTAATCAAATCAAAGTATTTAATCTAAAGATTGCACAAGCGGACCATATATACGTATATTCACAAGAAAAAAATTAATGACCCAGATAAAGGATTAAGCCCTAAAGTTATTTTTTTTTTTTTAATGAAACCAAACCATTTTGTGCGGTGACCTTAACTATAAGCATATAATCTTGAATTGTGAAAAATCTGTGGAAATCTAATTCCAATGAAAAAATTCTTAGACAATGAACTGGACAAAATAATTGTCTTGGCTTATATTCATCCGAGCCCATAAATTATTCAACACGAGACACTCTAGATATTCTGGACATAGAAGTATTACTGAACACTTTAATGCCAACCTCTCTCACAACCCCACCAGCTTTTAGCAGATGATGATCTCACACTAATAGAAATAACTGTTAGAGACCCTCTAACCCTCGTAACCTATTTTAAAGTAGAGACTGGGTGGTTTTCAAAAAAGCAGTTGATAACCCATTAGTTGACCTAATAACTGGGTAAACCTTTTAGAGGTCGACGACCCCAATTCTTATCTCGAAAACGCCTTTATCTATTCTTTTGACAAAGTCTCAATTACAAAACCAAAGGGCGTTTTTAGTCCCTTCTACCCCGTTAACATAAAAAATTGATTAGGAGGCAACGTTTAAAAAAAAGAATGAAAAGCGAGTTTATATCCTATTTACAAAACGCTATAAACAATTTGAACAAAAGAATAATAAAGGAAATAAGGATATTTTTCAACCACATGTGGGACAACAAACTTAACTTATTAAATTCCTCCCATACATCCATTCGGAAGAGGATTAATTATCCGGTAAAAAGAAAATAACCAGCATACCCCCTATTTACAACGACAAAAGATTGCTTACTCTGCTGCTGTAACAGCCTCCATATTTGCAGAATATTTACTCTTCCAACCTTTTGCCCTTCCATAAATAATTATGAAAGCAAACATGTAGGCTACGTAGGAAATGTATAAACACTGTGCTCATTAAAAAAAAGTTTGGTTCGCAAGACCCTTGCATAGAGAAAGAAATTGGTGCTGTACTCGAGTAACTCCATACTATAAAGGCAACAGACCCTGAAGGTATCTTTAATAAGATGCTTAAACATCTAACACTATCAGGACTCCACCTTGTCATTAACCTATTTAATTTAATTTTACTCAATTCTTATTCCCAGAAGCAAAGGAAAAATGTAGATTTAGCGGCAACCCACTTACTCTACCCGCTGCTGTGCGAAAAGCACAATGTCCCCGGGAAATAAAATACGCCATGATGCGGACGTGCACCCTTTTATGGCCTACGCATATTACCTAACTTACGAAACAACCAACAATTGCACTCTTGCGTCAAACAAGCTCCGCGACTAATGACCAGCGCCATGGCACGCTGCACTATGACCTGGGCCTGAAACGAGGCAACTACTGGTGAGTTTGAACATGTTAGCAGGCGGCCAAACAATTAGTAGACTCCAGAACTTACTCCAAACTCCGGATAGGCGCACTTGTTGTAAGCCTCCAAACACATCGTGGCACCCAGAAACTGAATACGAAATATGCAAAATAATTAGTTTTAGCAAAACCAAGCTTTCTACGTTCACTTTTACCGAGGCATCTACCCAATTCATTGTGTGAGTAGGATTAAAATTTCAGTAAACTAGTTAAAAAAAAACAAGTGAAAAGACAATTTATTGTAAAACTATTATTACTTACATAAAAAAGCTATCTCTCTGTCATACTTATAACTAAAACATTAATATTAAATTATAGCCAGTTATGCAGCCGTTTAATATTTACAGGAGTCTGCGAGGTGGAAATTAAGATTAGAGCAAAGCGCTAATGTTTATGAATGTACGTCATATTAGCTTGAAACTTTTAATTAAGAAGTCTTCTTACTTGTATCTTTGTTAGTTGGCGCCTGAGATAGCGAAAAATATCACAACACGGACTTAAAGTTCTTCCAACTTAAAAAAATGTTGTATAACTTAAAACAGACTTCTCTTACTCTCTATTTAATAGCTATTACCTTAAATTGTACTAATCGGTTGTGTTGTTTACAGAATGATACAAACAACAATAGTGGATTTACTCAAAAATTTATTTTATATGCAGATTCTGTTTCCGCTACTTACGTGGAAAACTAGGGAGACAACACTTACAAAAACCCGATATAAAAAAATCCCAGCCAACTCTAAAAGTTCTAAAGCAAACCAGTAGTGGTAAGTTACAGAGCAATCACATACACGTTAAAGGTTAGCCTCAGCCACAACGGCGTCTTTAGTTTTAAAACAACACTTTCAGGTAGAACAAGAACTACTCTAGGTTGCAAGCTGTTTTTAGATCTATTGCGCAAACCATTTAAAATCCAAGAAAAAATGCTAAGTATATTAAAATAACAGCCACTGTAATTAATATTTAAGAAATTTTTTTTTACAAAAATATTTTAAATAATATTCTAAAATATCGAAAAAAAGAACACGATTGCCAGGTCGTGTGTGATATGCTAGTATTCATGTGAAATAAAAGCAACCACTGAAAAGCAAGCAATGTTTCGAGACTTCTGTTTCTAAATTAGCTAGCCTCCCTTGCCTTCTTTGAAACTTTTCGCTACTTCTAATGTTGTGTTATTTTGCGTAAAAAGTTGTTTAAAGAGAAATTTATGTTAACTTATATACATATTCATAGTGCATCCTTTAATGATATACCAAGATTTGCCGAATTTAGATTCGAGACTTGAAGCCCTTTTAACTATCAAAGACGCCCTAATGAATTTTATCTGGGCAATTATTTTTAAATATATTGTACATTATAGAAAGTTTATTATTTATATTTATTAACTTTTTTTAAAAAAATATCATAATAATTATTATTAGGGAAAGAATAAAAGAAGGTTTAAGGATATTTGCCGTTGCGACCAACCGAGTTTGTCTTTTTTTTGTTTTGCTTTTCTCTTATTTAATCTGTTTAGTTGAAAGACAAAAAGATGACACATTAAAGAGGGGATTAGCGAGAATGTTTGAGGTTTGAAGCTTAATTCTAATATTTCTTAAGCTTTACAGTTTACTGTTTATAGGAGGATTTCACTAAAAGCTAGATTTAGTTTACTTTCCTATTAAAAACTAAAACTTTTTTTTTAATCATGATTCATAAACTTAAAAACTTCAAAAAGTAGCCTTTTTGATGCTTATTTTTATTTTAGTTTAAATTAAAATATATTATAGACTTTTTTGTAATAACATTTTTAGGGCGGCGTCATTATGGACGTCGTCTCAGTAGAACACGCTAAAATTGCTGAAGCTGCGGGAGCTTGCGCCGTTATGGCCCTCGAGCGCGTTCCAGCGGATATACGCAAAGAAGGTACAGATCTACGTATACATAACTTATTATAATTTATAGTATATTCTAAAATATTTTTTATATATATATTTAATTTATACTTGAAAATTTATATTAATTTTTTTATTTTTAATATAATGAAAGGAAAGTATATTTTATTCATTTTTGTATACTTAACAAACATTTTGGACATATATTTATAGTATTTATAGATAAAAAAATTTTCCTTCAATTTATTTATACAGTATTACTAGAATTTATTAAATTTATTTATTAAATTTATTTATATACTTCGTTATGAAACCATTCTTTACGATTTTTATAACTCACGTTTCTTCTTCTTTTACTCAAAATCTACAACTCAGCTTTGCAACTTAGCGAAGTTTTATTAGTTATAAAAGTGATATATCTTTGCTTTAATAATTTAAACTAAAAGAAAGCCAACTTTATAAACCTTTTATTATTACTAATATAATAATAAATTAATAGAAGTTATCTTATTTGTAGCAAGCTGCTCTAACTCTTTAATGTCATATTTACTAATTTGGCATGATATTTTCTATCATAATTATTATTCTGCGCGCCGGACAATGCTGCTGCTTCTAGTACTTTGCTAATAATAATAGTTGTGCTCTGTCACACTTCCGGCGCTTTCTGTTCTTGGATAAAATTTATGTGAATTTTTTTTTAATTAACTCTTATCGGTTTTATATAAGTTTCTTTACTACTAATAAGCCTCATTTCCTATTTTTTTCGAAGAGATATATTATTTTATTGTATCTTTCATATACATTTAAAACTTTCTTACTTGTGCTTCTTTGTTTTCCAGTAATGATTGTATTATAATTTTTTTATAATAGAAAAACTTTTAAAGACTTGTAAAAACGCTATAAGTAACAATAATGTTATTATTATTTTAATATATAACTTTTTCTCTTAATTAATCATTATTTAATAATAATCAATATCCTTAATCATTATATCATTATTTGTAACTTTTTTAATAAGTATAACTTTTTATTATTAGGAGGAGTAGCGAGAATGAGCGATCCTGCGCTTATTAAAGAGATTAAAAAATGCATTACTATTCCAGTAATGGCGAAAGGTTTCATTATTTTATATGATTTCTATAAAAATTAAGCGCCTTTTTTTTGGAATTTTATTAGATAAATTTTTATATTTAACTGTTTGGTATTTTTTTTTATAAAATTGTTAACTTTTTGAAAATACCGTGAACGTTCTATATTTTTATAAGTTTAGTGGAAAAATTATGCAACTCGTTTTTTTTATTAACTTTTTGTTTTATTAGGTATTCTTATATCTTTACTTGGTTTTATGTTATAAAAGTTAGTTATTATTTTCATAGTAAATATATAGAAGAGTTACAGAAAATTATTAATATTGCTTTTGTAGAATTACATAAGAATTACAAAACTTGAAAGAAAAAAGTTTTATTTTTTTTATTAAAGTTTATTTTGTGTTTCTATATAAAACTGTTAAACAAAAATAAGTTTATTAATATTTATACTAGCATTGGTTTTTATTATTATGTTCGAAACTATAAATATATCATAAAAGTATTAAAAAGTATATAAAAACTTTTTGTTAAAATGTAATTTTTTAATACAAAAAATACCCTACAACAAACATTTCTAATAAAAATATAAAAGAAAAATTCTATTACAAAAATTGTATTATACACTTTTATATGATACTTTATAGATATTTTTGTTTTTTATAATTTTATTATATTATGAAGAAATTCTTTAAAGTTTTAGAAAATAAAAAATTAATTACTTTTTTGAAAAAGTTTTAAATATTTATAAAAATAATTTTATATTAAATAATTTTTGCTTCTGCTGTATTCTTTTTATGCGCACGGAAGATCCCCACAAAAGTTTTAAGGATGACGAAAGTTCCATTGTGGCCTTTTTTGCGCTCATTGCACCAAAATACTTTTATTCTGCGCTGAATTATAACAAAATGGCAGCTGATTTTATTAGAAAATTCAGTTTTTTTGTCCAGTAAACGAGTCTTTTTTCTCATGCAATATTCTGCGCTTCACAACTTTTTAATATTAACGAATTACTGCCTGCCTTTTACCTCGTTTATATACTTAAACGTATTGCGGCGATATGTGACTTTGTAACTTTATTTCTTTTTATTGGATGCCTATATATTATTATATGAAGTTATTGTACGTAATTCTATAAACAAGTGCGCATTGGGCACACAGTGGAAGCGCAAATCCTGGAAGAGCTGTGCGTTGATTTTATTGATGAAAGCGAAGTGTTAACTCCAGCAGACGAGGAAGAGCACATTTACAAGTCACCCTTTAAAATTCCATTTGTCTGTGGCGCAAGAAATTTGGGTATTTTTGGAATTCATTATTTTGCTTTTCAGATTTTAATATTTTTATTGGTTGTTATTATTAAAGTAATTTTTTTAAAGAACTTTACCAGCTTCTTCGTTTATATATAAAATTTTTTTTAATACTGAAGTATATGTAAAGTTTGCGGTTTACTTTTTTAATTATACCTTTATTAAAAAACCGAAGTTTATATTATAATATATCGATTTTTATAGCTGTTTCAAAGATGGCACCATTCTTAATAATAATATAAATACCTTTTATGGTCCTTTTTATTATTAATCTTTTTTATTGCTATTTTTATTTCAACTTTTTTATATTTTAAAAAGTTTTATTGGTATTAATATATTTTTTAAGTAAAGTTATGCGCAATATTATTATTAACATATAAAATTTAAGAATTATTAATACTATTAACAAATGTATTTGTAACAAATATGTAGATACTGGAAGCCAGCCAATAGATTTTTTTATAAATGTACATGCCTTCATTTATGTTGACTTCACAATTTTTTATTGTTATAGGAGAAGCACTTCGGAGGATTGAAGAGGGAGCCGTAATGATTAGAACAAAAGGCGAAGCGGGCACAGGGAACGTGGTCGAGGCCGTTCGCCACATGAAGCGCCTGAACGTATTATTATTAACTTGCAATTTTACTATATATGAATATTCGTTATTATTATTAACTACAAATAATTGGTTTATATTTATATATATTATAAACTTTAAATAACTTTATTCTTTTTATAGTTTTATATAAATTATTAATCTTTCTATAATTTTTTTTACAATTTATTATAACTTTAATTATGCTAAATAAAATATTATTGCTTGCGAAGGAAGTACTGCACTTCATATACAAAATAAATATAAGGTTTTTTGTAAGCTGCGTTATGAGAAGTTATAAAGCGAGTATCATAGATGATGCTAGATCTTCGTTAGAGGAAGATTGTGCGGAAGTCTAGAAAAGATTTTGGTTTTTACTTTATATGGTAGACGCATGCGGCATTGCCTACTGGCTACATCGAAGCGCCAGTTGAGTACCGAAGAAGCCTTAGGATAATTATGTCCATATTGACGACCGCTTCGTGGCGAGGCTTACTGAATTGTTATTTAGTTTTGTGTGTTTTATCGGTTTTTTTTTGTAAACCTTCAGTTACATTGTTTGGGGGGGGGGGGGAAACCGACGTTAATTACTGATGACCTTATATTAATATGTTTTAAGTCTAAAAAAATACGTACAGGGGTTGATTAGTTTTCCACAAGCGCTTGAGTTTTGCGACCAAATATTTTCCCCATACTGATAGTTAGTGGACTTTTTAGCGCGCTGCTTACGATGGGAGCGAAATTTAATGGGGAAAAGAAGCAGGAGTAGTTTTGGCGGTGTGTGATGCATTCGTTAATGTTAAGGATAGCGTCATAGACGGGGGTAGCCCTAGCATTTGTTGGATCTTTAATACGTTTTTGAAGAAGTTAATTTAGTTAGCGATCCGTAAGGTGCTCTGGTAGAAGAAAGAAAGAATTAATGCGAACGACCTGATTGGATAGACTTGTGTGATAATACTTGCCAGCGCTTTGGGAATAGTAAGGCTTAAACCGAACTAAGAAAGGCATTAATTGAAGCAGCTTCCGCTCGTTAGCAGACATAATGATTATGTCTAACGGCTGCAACACCGTATTGGTAGTTGTGGAAAAATACTTGTGCTTCGAGTGGGCGAAATTTATAGTTATTATTAGTGCGAGTTCCGTACTAGATGACTTTACTAGATGGCTTTAAGGGTATGTGGGTAGCAGGTCCCAATGCGCCACGTTAGAGAGGCAGTCTGAGCCGAACACCAGTGGAGTAGCGAGGTACTGTAAACCATTTCCCGTCCAATGATAAATGTGAATAAACTATTCAGGCCAAGTGATTGTCGCAGTATATATACAAGCAAAATCTTAATATCTTTAGAGCTAGCACATTTTTATATAATGTTAAAGATGATGTAAAGTCTGAAAAATTGAAAAAGGTTTATATCTGTAGCAGTAGTAGTGCCGACACGTTAAACAGTCACTAAAAAAGTAAAGAAATTTTAGATTAGCTAATGGAAACTGGAGGCGGATGTCATCTCAGGAAATTATACCCCAAGAGTAAGACGATGGCCGATGACTATTGGGAAAAACAGGAAGGTAGTAGAAGTGCATGATTGGAAGTACTATGTTCGGGAATAGTCTATTGAAACAGAAATTTTAACTAAAGAAAGAAAAAGAATTATTGTTTACTTGGACAAACTCTGGGCCATCTTGGGAATAAAATATGTGTGAGTGAGTTGCAGAATAGAAACTGGGGAGGTAACATCACAATCACTACCATTTGCATGGTGTTAAGTGCGCTATTTACATTTGTGAGACTGGATTTTAAACACGCGCACATAGTTTAAGCCGATCTGTTGATACTATACACATTTCTCGGAAATCAATTTTTTTGCCGGGAAAGATTATTTATAAGTCGGACTATAAAAGCCTTTTTAAAATTGGGGCCAAAGATTGATATAGGGAGTTCCCCTTAGTGCGCCTGCATTTTTTGACAAGTCGATTGGCTACCATTTTTATTCTTTTAGTATTTTTAATATTATATATAAATTTTTATCCGTTCTTTTCTTTACGAGAGATTTACGTTTAGCAGAAGCAGCATATGTAAAAACGAGATGAGAATAATGGAAAAAGTATTTACTTAAGTATAAGCCGAAATATCAGCGGCGATGGTTGGCTGGATGGATTTACTTTAGAAGTTTAAGATTAGATCCATTTTTACTACCAACGGAAGCAGAGTTAACGTATATAAAAAGTGCATAGGAGCTAACAAGGAACATTCCTGCCCCCCCCCAAGTAAAAGGAATCAAATAAATTACCATTAATTAGAAAGCGGTTGGAAGGAGGCATGCGGTTTGGAGTTCATCTTCTCTGATTTAAGAATTTAATTTATATGCGTGCTTTTAAATAAATATATTTGATCTACCGAGTTACATACAAATTAGGTGCAATGCCTTCTTAACAGAGGGAATATTCAATTATTATTATACTATTACACAATATTTAAGTATAAAAGTGCCTGTTTTATAAACAAGAAAAAATATTCGTTTTCCAATTTTGTTTTTAAAATAAAAATCTTTATGTTATAAAATGAAAAAGGAATAAAATACTTGTTTACGAACTTTATATTATATGTGAAAATGTAATGAATAATACTAATAATTAATGTTTAATGAAATCCAAATTTTATTAAATAAAGAAAGCTTTAAATGATATTAATAGTAGTTAAAGTATTTATATTAGAACTTTTATATACAGAAGCCTAAATTTTAATGAAAAATGTAACCACCCATTTCTTAACCACTTCTTAAGCAATTTGTATTATAAAAAAAAAAAATTTTATCGCTTTTTTTTAGATCATATAAAAATGTAATACTATAGAAACATAAAATTAAGGTAAATTTATTCAATAAAATATTAAGAAAATTAAATATTGTAAATTAAATTATTTTATATAGTGAAATGTTTCTTTATATTTGTTGCTATTTAGCGGGAAATCAAATCATTGGCTTCAATGAATTCTACTGAACTTTTTGAATACGCCGAACAAGAAGGAGTTTATGTTGGGTTGGTAGAAGAAGTCTGTGAACTCCAGCGCCTTCCTGTAGTCTGCTTTGCCGCTGGAGGTCTTTTTATATATATTTTTTGTGCGTAAAAAATTTGATTGAATACTTTTTTTGATACTGATAAATTTACGTTGTTGATGGTTTATTTACGATTGTTGACTTTTTTTTGGGCTCCACTATTCGCCATTATCTATATTATATCAAATGTTGGAATTAGAAATTTTTTTATGACAGTTTTGAAAGAAGTTTATTAACAATTAATAGTAAATGACTTTCTTATATGAATCATAAATAAATTAATTTTTTTTTACTGTTAAGGACTTATTTTTAGTGTTTGAGGAACAATAATTCTAGTTTACTGAATTTTAGTATTTTTTAAGTTGTTCATAATTTTTGCTAACTGTATCCTATTAAGATTTCTTGTTTTTGTTAGGCAGTTAATGAATAAATTATTATATATTTTAATGGCTTCTTGTTATTCGCTTATTTATACTATATTCAAATCTTAGTAGTTGTTTTTTACTATTAATTCTTTTAAGGGATTGCCACCCCTGCCGACGCTGCTTTAATGATGCAACTCGGCTGCGACGGCGTGTTTGTTGGATCTGTAAGCTCTGTCTTTTTGCTGATTAATTTAATTATGACTAATCGACTTGCTTATAAACTTGCATTTTTATATCTTTATTGTTGGTTATTATACTTAAGAAAATTTTTGTTATTATAATAAATTATTATTATTAAAGGGAATATTTAAAAGTGAAGATCCCAAGAAACGAGCGGAAGCGATTGTCCAGGCCGTCACGCATTACCAAAACCCCGAAGTTTTACTACTCGTTAGTGAGAATTTAGGAGCACCAATGGTATCTTTAATAATAATACAAATAACTTTATTACTTTTTTATACACTTTAAAACTATTTATTGTTCATTAACTTTTTTTTATATAAAAACTACAACTGCTTTAAATTTTATTTTCGCTTTTATTAACTTTTAAGTTTTATCTTCTAATGATACTTCTCCTTTTTATATAATTTTATATATATATTTTTACTTTTATATTTTTAATTTATAATTGAGGTTATTTTATAAACTAGTCTTGAAATTTTATTATAAATTTTAATTTTTTATATTATTTTATAATATTTATTTTAATTAAGTTTATAATAAAAAAGTGTTTAGTTATTAGTTTGTCCCATATAATTTATTTTCTTATTAATTAGTTATATAATTAGCATTTGAATTATATAAGATTTTTTAAATATATCGATTAAAAGTTCAATAGGAATTATATATAAATAAAACTTAATTAATTATAAAAATAACTTTTTTATAAATTATTATAAACTTCTTACCAAATTTAACCTTCATTTTTAATATTTTATTTATTTTAATTTAGAATTTTTCTAAGAAATAATATATATATAAATCTTTTTTATATATTTTATTAATAAATAATAGAAAAAACCAGTACTATTTTTTTTAGTTTTCTTTAGTTTTTCGAACTGTTTACTTTTATTTTTAATAATTTCATGTTTTTTTGTGGGTGAAAGTTAGATTTAAGTTTTTCTAATTAATATTAAAAGGGTGATTTTCTGTTAAAAAGATTGACATAATTTTTTTTTTTAAAAAAAAAAATTTAAAATTTATAAATAATTTATAAATTTATTAACTTCGAGTTCTTAATTTAAATATTTTTTGATTTTCGGGTGTAAATTTATTAAAAAACGGAGTATTGCTTTAAACTGTATATAATATTTATATATTTCTGATTATTATATTAAAATTAAAATTTTACAAATAGATTTTTTTCATTCAAGAAATTTTACTTAGTTTTAAATATTAAAATATCTTTTTTTAATTCAATTTACAACTTTTTATTGTAACTTTATTAATTCTGAAAAATTATAGTTATTATAGAATTGATAAAACGAATATAATTATTTCTGATTTCTTAATTTTTAATTTTTAATTATTGTTAATAATTTTATTATATTTTTCTTTTCTTAGAATTTTTTATGAAAGTTAGTTTTAAACTTTGAAATATAATATTATTTGATAAAAAACGATAAAACAATTGTAATTGATTTTCCCTTTTTTAAATTATAATTTGTTATTTATTTGTAGAAAATTAGTTATAAACTTTGATAAGAATTGATAAATCGAATGTAAAGGGTTTTTCTCATTTTTTAATCGTATTTAATTTTTAGTAAATTAGTTATAAACTTTTAAAAAATATAATATTTTTTTTACTGATAAAATAAATTATATTGGTTGCTCTTTTGTTAAATTGTTGTAGGTACATATAGTAGATTTGTGATATACTTTGGAAAATATTATCATTATCTACAATAAAGAATGATAAAACAGATGATTGATATCTTAATATTAAATTAAAAATATTAATTACTTTTGAGTAAATTAGTTATAAACTTTGAAAAGTAAAATATTTATAATATAAGAATTGATAAAAAGGATGTAATTGGTTTCTTTTTTTTAATTTTAATCGTTACTGATGTTTATTATAATTCTTATTTTCTTATAACTTATTATTAAATTCTAAAAAAGTTAGCTATGAACTTTAAAAAATATTATAATTCTTATTTTTTTAAAACGATTAGGATTGATTTTTTTATTTTATAATTGACTTTATTAACTTTTTTTTATTATTATTAAAACTTATTAATAACTTTCATAATTTTCTAATTAACTTTAGAAAATATTATTATATAAAGAAATTATATAACGGGTGTAAAAATTTATTATTATAACGAATTTATTTTATAATAATTTTTTTTTCAAAAGTGTGGAATCGACAGCAGCCAGTTGTCGCCAAGCCAGCAATATGCACGAAGAGGGATATAAAAATAAATTTCGGAATTTTTTTTAATGTTTTATTTCTCATGTTAAATGTCCCTTTATAGTAAATAGAACATATATATATGTTATTTTTTATTATTTCTTATGGTGGAAACTACTTTTAAGAACAGTTACAAATAATAAAATATTGATATTTATTTATATATTGTAGTGGATTCATATTAGAAATATTAGTTGTTAAAAAAAAAGATAAAAATTATTATTAGTCACTTATTATGACGAAGATAAAGTTTTTTTTTACTTGAAATATTTACCAAACTTTTACAGATTTAATTAAAATTTAAATTAATTTAAAATTTTTAAAAATTTATTAATTTCTCTTAAAATTGTTGTTTTCATGGCTTTTTAAATGAAAAAGACATATTTTACTTTTAATATATTTGGGTCGAGAGTTTATTTTTTCAATGTTAAAAGTTTCTGGAGGATAGCTTTTAAGTTTTCTGTAGAATTTAGTTAACTTATATACTCATATCTTTAAGAGAGATTTATAAGAAAAGTATATATTATTGTTAAACTTTATAACCTTATTAAATTATAACTTTAAATTTAATTATTTCTCGAAAAAGACCGACTTTATTTAAACTGTTTGAGGATAATTTTGTTTATTTTTCTTATTGAAATGTGACCTCTTTTTAAAGACAAACTATAACCGCTAGGAAAATTCAATAATAAAAAGTATATATACAAATTTTTGGATGAATAAAATAATTAATACAATATTAGGCAGAGTCCCTCTGTGAATTTTGTTGTTGGATTGTTTTGTTTCTATATTTAGTGGAATTTGGCAATTACTCGTTTCTTTATTGAAACTCTTTAATAGTTGGTGTATATTTCTGGCTTTTCCTTGTGCTTGCGAAAATTAATAAATATCTAATACCCGACCACAAAAAATTGTAGCTTTAAGGAAGCGAAAAATAATTTTATGTCGATATAATTTGAGTTCCCATTAAACTTTTATCTTTTAGAAGCGTTGGATCTTTTTCTCGATTCAATATGTTTTGTGTTAATACTTGTGTAATTGAGATTTTTTGGTTTAAGTAAAATTTAATTTTGAATTTTTGAATTGTTTACAGTAGGTACTACAAGGAGGTTATTTAATTTTAGGTAAAAGAGTATGTCTTGGAACCGAGATTTCTTTAAATTTACTATGTATAGCAAATATAGGACGTTAAGTTTCAGCACAAGCAAAAAGATCTGTTTAGATGTTAAAAGTTATTTCCAAAAAGTCAGTTTAATTAACTCATTCTAAACCTATGAATTAGTACGGGACACATTGTGTTAATCTACACTAATAAGAAAATTTAGTTTTGCAGTAAGATCCTTCTACGCCTTTAATAAGAAAATTGTAATTATAATGCGTTTATTTAGGAAAAAGTTAAAAAAATGCTTGTTTGCTACTGCATTCTAAATAAAATAAACAATATCAGGTCATATTACATTCATATATAGATTCCTGTCCTTAAATTTAAGTTTCACTAGAAACTAAGAACAAATTTCTTAATAACCAAATTTTGCTCTGATAAAAATAAATCTCTTAAGAGAAACATATAGACAATGTTGCGAAAATTATACTACTTTTTACAGTAAATTAAAGTTTTCTTGACGCTCGGGCAAATAGACAAGTACTACTAATAGCCTACTTTGATCTTAGTATTTTGCGTTATTACTGGAAAAACATACATAAGCCTATGAAACAAAAATTTACTCGCTTTTTAAAATTATTTTCTTTGGCTGTTTTAATAAAATTTGAGTAAAAATTCACAAAGGGGCCAAGGAATAATTAGGAACAGGAAATTATATAATTTTTTTTTAACACTGGGCATACTACGCCCGGTCTTTTTGAGTCCTTAAACCGCTTAATCTGAAGTCCCCTTTTCTGCAGGAGTTGGAGCACGTGCGCCCATCAGTGTTCGCTCTTTAGAGAGTTCTAATGACTTTCCCGAAGGACTGAAGATGCGGAAAATATCGCGCCTGGACTCCCGCCATTCGGATTAGTTGGTGGAAGACCGCTAAAAACCACCACCGGCAGAGGCAGCATTAGGCTCAAGACCCGAGACCGCTGGAAACACTGGCGGTCACCCGCCGGCCAGGCCTCCCCGATTATGAGCGGAGCTCCTCCCATTTTTATTATTAGATTAAAATATTGCAGTTATGGTTTTGGTTATTCCGGAACGTGTTTAAAATACTGAGTTTCTAAAATGTTTGGGCGAGATGTTATTTTCAACGTTCACATCCATCTTGTCCACTCTGTCTCCCAGGGTGAGCAAAGCAAACAAACACTCTCAAACTTGAATTTTTAATTTCTTCACTTTCAGAAAATTAAAAAAATACTAATGTGAAGTGTGTATGCTACTCTTTTTTTAATATAGTTATAAGTTGATATTATTAAAGTTATTCAAAACTGCAGCTCTATAGTCTTATAAAGTACAATTAGAATGAAAGAAAATTTTCTAGAAATAACTTTAAGGTCAGAAGACCTGACAGTTTAGATTAAGAGCTAGTCAAACTATTGATTTTACTAAGGTCTTATTAAATGGAAGTAGAGATTAATAGAGCTACTTCCTTTTATTTTAAGTAGAAATTGCCAGGTAAAATTGATATCACTGCAACCATTTTATTATTTTCGTACTAAGAAATAACGCTAGTTTTCTAGGGACTCCAAATCTTTTTTTTCGGCCTAGAAAGATCAGTGTATTTCTCTTATGTGTTACATCTTTAGCATATTACTGAATAATGACACTAATCAAAAGTGTCGTACTTTAGCAAGTAGTATTAGCCTCTTACAATATTTCTTTAGTAAGTACTAGTGCATGAAAACAAAAAATATAATTAAAGATGTTACCTAATCTACTTAAAATAATAAGTATAATTTGTTGCATCCGTAGAAACTTTTTTATTACAAATTTAATAGTTTATTCCGTATAATATCATAGAGGAAAATATGATTTGTTTTACCAAGCTATGTTAAACTTAAATAAAAAGAAACAGTTGATTCATCTTCGAAGTTTTTACATGAATGTACAGCATGAGTTAGTTTTTCGTGCGGTTTTGTAAAAAACTTTTGATTGAACGCTTAAATCATTAGATCTCTCAACTATGTTTTCAAGTTTTTCTCCTCTTTCTAGAACGGATTCAATAGTTTTATGCTAAAAATTGTTAAATAGGTCAAAAAATTTTAACAAGGTAAATTTTCACAGTAAAAATAAGGTTTTGCGAGTATGAAAAAAATATTATAGAATACATAAGTAAAATAGGAAGGAAAACTCAAAGTTGCTTGTTGAAATAAAAGTTGGGTAGTTTAACTACAATCAGAATTTTAACTGGAAAATTGTAATATTAAGGAATTATATAAGAAAATACAATATATATTACATTTTCATGAGTAAAAGATTTAGAGCAAAATAAGATCAGCTCTTCAAACAATAAGAAATAATAAAAAGTAAAAGCTTTATAAGGGAAAAGAGTGGAAGGTTAAAATTTGCTTAAAAACGGTTAAGATAAGATTACTTTTTCTAAATTTTAATTAAAATGACTAAATATATAAATCATTGAAAAAAATAATAATTTCTGCTAAAAAAAACCACTAGTTTTATAAAAATGTTTGCTTATCAAACGAAGCTAAAAAACTAACTTCAGATTAAATCTACAAAAAAAAAATTCGTTCCGCCTCAGCAAAAAACTAGCAATCTTAATTTTGAACGTATTTTTTTTTAACCATAACTGGTAAAGAAAGTGAATGTCACTTCACTATACGAAATTTTGCTCATAGTTTTATATTTCATGGTTTGAATAAAACTTTTTCGAACTGATTGATTCCTTTATAGTAGTCTTAAAACGTTGAATTAGTGCTAGAAACTAAAGATTTTGAACTGCACTGTAAATGAAATTCCTTACAACTCATAAAGGCTATGCTTTTTTATTTTTATTTTTAATTTTTATAGTACATTTTATAATTATTACTCCATGAAAAATAATAATCCCGAAAAAATTACTCGTGAGTCATGTGAAATATTTACTACAGCAAAATTTTATAGTGAAAAGCAAAAAAAACCATAATTTCCAAAACCCAAATTGCGAGTCCTGTTGTCTAGAAGAATACCATCGTTTAATTCAAAAAATAAATTTTTATTAATTTATCTAAATTATATATTTCATAAAAGATTATACTTTTTAATGTTTAATATTTATATATATTATACTAATTTTATTATAATATATAATATTTTATTGGAGAAAATAACGTTCAAACTTCTTATAATCTCTTATATATATAAATATACTTTTTTACTAAAATAAGTAACATTTTATAATAATAAACTTGAAAGAAAAAATATTCAGATTTTTATTTTCCTTACCAGAGTAACTTTAGTTTCTTCCAAATCTTTCTGAATGGCCAAAAGCTTATCGGCATTAACTGGATCCTCATACTTAAAAAGTTGAGTTTCCAGTTCAGGAAACGATAATGCTTTTATATTGTAAAAAAATGTTACTATTGAAGTCTTTATTATAAATTCAACAATTGCTATATAAAATTTTAGTTGATTTTATATTATTATTTTTTACTAAAGAATATTATTAAATTTCAATTATTTCTAAGTTTTTATACAAACTTAAACGTATTTTTAAATATTTTTCTGTAAGTTCAGTATTATATTATTGCATTCTTTCATTACAAAAATGCATCTTAAGAACATTTTGATGTAAAACTTTTTTTATATAAAAATTAATTCAATTTTAATTCCTGAATACTTTTAATTATTAAGTCTTTATAAATCCATAATATTTTTAATAGGCACAATACGTTTAAAAAAAAAATTCAAGTGTGATTATGAATATCTTTATTATACTTTATAACAATTATTTAAAACGTTTATAAAATTAGTTTCTTATGAGATTAAAGTAGATTAAACTTCGTACAACCAATTTTTTTATAAATTTTTAAAATTAATCTTTTTTACGTTAAAGTAAATTCTTAATCACTTTGATGTAAATATAAGTTTATACAAATTCAAAAAAAAATTCAAAGATTAAATTTTACAAATCCTTACAATTAAAAGAATATTATATTTTTTATAAAAAACATTTTTAAGAAATTTCTGTTTTTTTTTAAAAAATACACAAGTATTTTTAAAAATTGTTTTAAATTTAAAAAGTACTTATACAAATTCCATAGAAAAAATTACTGTAAACTTTTATTATTTACATAAGTTTCTTATTATAAACTCTTAAATCTTTTAAAATTTTTGTTACAATTAAGATATAAACGTATAATAATTGTAGTTCGATTTATGTTTACTATTTTTCAATACTTTTTAATAAAATAATTATTATAATTTAAAATATTTTCTTTATAATTATTAAATTTTGTTACGTCTAATAACTTTTCAATAAATTTTCTTTGCTTATCAAAATATTTACCGTATTTTTATTCTTCCAAATTACCAGTAAATAATTTATTTAATTTTTCTTGATGGATTTAACTTTTTTTTAATATATATATTAAAATGATAATATTATTAAAGAAAAATAAAATTATTAGGCTTCTACAAAACTTTACATTTTCTTGTAATATTATTCGTTACTAAATATTATTCAAACCTCCCAATTAATTTTTACAAAATTTATGAATCCCATATTACAACTAATTTAATAAAAAACACCAAAACTATACATTTTAATTAATTCAAAACTTCTTTATAGAAAGTTTTTAAGTAAATAGCTGTAAATAAAGTTAAATAAGAATTAAAAAAGGGTTACAAACTCTAGTTTTTATCAATTTTATTTTTCATAAATATATAAAACTTTTGTATTATATTATAATATTAAGTTAATAGCTTACTATTAGGTTTTTAATTTAGCGCATCTCCATAATATTTATTATTAAATATGCAATAGATAATAATATTTGCTCTTATAAAGTGGTATGAAAAAATTTAACCTCTTACAATGGAAATTAGTTTGCTTAAATTTTTTAAAAAAACAGTCAATAGTAAACGGGATATTTATAATACACCAATAATATTTATTATAACAATTCTTTCTGTATATTAAAAAATACTTAAGTAATCATTTATTTATTTATTTTTAGATTAAATGAAATGAAACAATTTTATTATTATTGTTTTTTATTATAATTATTTACTTTTTTTGTTTAATATTTCTGAATCAATATTTTTGTAATAAATTTTTTTTAAATTTTTTACCTTAAATTTTTTAAAAAAAACATTAAATTCTATAAAACCTTTTGAAAGTTCCCTATTGGTAGAGTTAAAAGAATTACAACCAATACTAACAAAAATGCTAGTAACTCATGTGTTTATATAAACCACGTGGTTGCAGTAACACAGTATATTACCGACCTTTTTCAATCTTTTATTTTTTCACTAATAAAAAAAGTAGTTTTTCCTTTAAAAATGCAAAGAAGCCTTTTGAATATAAAACTATTAGCAGGAAGACGCACGTATCTTTCATAGAACAATTTTTATTACACACGAAAACAAAATATATTGAAAACCCATCAATTCAGCATTTTCTTTTATTATACCTTTTAAAGACTTCAATAATAGTATTGTAGTTGAAAATTTCTTATAAATTAGTAATTGTTATATTATCAAAAAAATAATCCTCTCTTATTGGCTCATAGTTACTACACAGACAAACTTGAATAATAAGTAACCAATGTCTTTAAAAAAAAAAATTTAAAAATAACATAAATATATTAAATTACGCTTCCTCTGCGTTCATCAACCAATCAGAAATTGTATAAAAATATGAAATTGTTATGATCCATTAATTTTATTTTGATAATGCTTGTATAAAAAAAAATTTATACGCAACTTTTACTGCTGTGTTTCTCTAACAGTAAAAAATTAAAATTAAAAACAAATAAAACCTTCTCAACGTTTATTTAATTTTTTAATGAAATTGGATCTGACATGATAATTATTTTTTTTATAATAAAATTTTTTTATATACTACAGAATTAAGAATTTTATTGGTTCTAGTTTCAACTTTGAAAAACCAATCAAAAATCTGTTTTAAAGTCGTCAATGTACCAGTAATAACCACTTTTTTTATTATAAACCATTTTGTGTTATAGCATTTTTTATATTATGATAATGAAAATTAAAAAATTAAAAAAATTTTTTAAAAATCTAAAAAAAATTATTACTGCTACTCCTTAAAAAATAAATTGTGGAAAGCACTACTTTTTATAAACTTTAAGAAAATTATTGTTACACTAAAAAAATATTCTCTTTATATTAAAAAAAAAATTTTAAATAAAATTAATTATGACGAATTGCTCAATCCTGCTAGCAATTTACAGTCAACCTTTAATCTATTAGAAACTAATTTAAATAAAAGTTTTGGTTTACTAAGTGTATAATTTCACGGTAATAATATTAAACTACTAAAATATTATTAACTTAGATCATAATTAAGAAAGTATTTTAAATTGATTAATCTAAAGGCCACTTCAGCAAATTATATTTATAAAAATTTGAACAATTCCAGAGTTAAAAGTACACAAAACTTTTCCTTATTTCTTTTATCTATAAAGTTAAAACAAAAGGTGATCATTACTTCCCGTCAACCCCATTATTATTGTAGTAAATTCTAAATAAAATAGAAAAACTATATTTACTTTTTGACTGGCAACTTTCCCACACGTTTTTTGGAAATCGACTACTAAATTGATCAAGTAAATCGTGCATCAACGAGAAGATGACTCGTGAAGGGTAATTGCGTTCTGTAGTAGCCACAATACTTAAATTATCGTAGCGTGTATAAACATGGCACATTCCTCCATACTCTTAAAAATAATAATTTAAAAAAAATAAATCAAAAGGGTATACGAATAATAGGATTAAATAATTTCATAGTAATTTAAATGTAACTTTTATGAAAATATAAATTGGTAATATTTATTATATATTTTTGAAGCGCAACAACTATTGTATTACAATAAAAATATTATAATTATAATTTAATTTCTTTATTCACTCTAACAAACTCAAGTTGTTTTAGAAATATTACATTCGTCGTTTATAATAAGTCTAACAGAACAGTTTATAAATTATTAAAAAATAGTAGAAAAAAGAATATATAATAAGGGTAATTTAAATTTACTAAAAAAATACAAACTAAAAAGATAGAGAAATTAGCCGCTAACTAGTTAGCAATTACGGACGATAACAATTCATTGTTCTTTACATAGACATAACTAAAAAATATAAGTAAAAGAAGATTTTCAAAAACCTTCTTCCTCTACAGAATGATGAGCGCCTGGCGCTAAACGCATACATAAAGTTATTGCAAAAAATTGGATAAATTCGCGAACTCTATATAAGTAAATAAATAAAGGACACAATATTTTTAAATAAAAAAGCTAGTGAATTCCTCATATTCTTTTTTACAATAAATTACGTGGATCTTTGAAAATATCCAAAACTTGACAAGTTTTCAGCGGTGACTAAAAGTTTAGCCTCATCTCTCGCTTTATAAAGGATGACGATCCCATAAATGTGCATTTCTTTTCTTACTATAACAAGTTAAGTCATTTAACTTTTAATGGTAAAAAATCATTATAACAAGAAAGCAACGACGATTTAAATGTCCTTTTGATGATATATGAGGAATTTTTACTTTGAATTAATGACTTGCCAACAGAGAAGCTACCACCCACCTACAAAGGGCGCAGGAAACAACTCTTGACCTCTAATAAACTTTTTAAAAACACTGCTGGAATTTCTATAATGTAATATTATGACGAACTATTAGAAAAAGGTTAGAGGTTTTGCCACACCAGGTCAAGTATTGGGAAAAGAAGCTTCTCCGCTTCCTGCTTAGGTACTATCACAGTTGTTTTAAGAAAACATAATCACTAACTGCAAGTTAAGTAAGTAATAAAAATTCTTTATTCGCTACTGCTTAAAATTCTCAACGGCAGTAGCATCTCCTTAGTCTCAATGCTTGCTTGTGAATAGTACAATTATATCTGATAACCCCCATGGAACTTTGGCTATTTTAGCTTATTTTACTGTATTTCCACCTAACCTCTTTAACGCCGCTTAACAATATTTTAACTTGTAATACTTTTAAATTTACACTAAACTGAAAAAATTATCACATATCATAGTGAAAAAATAACTATATTAACTAAAGATTAAAGAAACTTGATGGCATCTTTTATAAACCTTCTTACCCAATTTTAAAGGTTTTCTAATAACTTATAAAGCTAGGTTTAGTAAAAAAGATGAGGCATACTAATGTCTTTAGAAATTGTCCGCTGTTTAAACTTAACACACTTAATATGTGTATAAATTAAGGTAATAACTAAAAATATATAAAGCTATTACGATGGACGAGCAGTAGTATACTCAAAATTGGTGTCTGGTTTGCATCCCTTTTTTTGCCTTATTTGGGTATTTATTAATATATTTTTCAATAAATTTTTTTAAGCTCGGTCGAGTCATTGAGCTTCAAATTCTCATGCTTCCGAGCAGGAGTAGTCAGATAGTTTAATGATTTAGTCAAAAATTTAAAAACTTTCAAGATGTAAAACTGTTTGCAGTACGTAATGCGGACGGAGACAGCGAAAGTTGACATGACCAATAAGTAAGCTCGTTTTCCTTAAGGAGTCGTTCGTATACACGAAAGTAGTGCATCTTAAATTAGTACACAACACTCTATTGTCTAGATGTAGAGAATTCAATAAATACCAAGCTAATAAATTTCAAAATAATATGAAGTTGAGAATACTCCATAAATCATTAATATCAGCAAAAATTCATAAATTTTATGTATTAAAGCGATGCAAACCTGAAATAAAGACACCGACGAGGGAGGATTGTTATCCTAAACCCCAGTACCCAACGCACCTGGCGAAGACAGGAGTTTAGAGGCATTAGATATCGCCGTTTTGAAAAATAATCATATTTTAATGGCAATTTATGAACTCTAAAAAAACCATGACAATCTGTTAGTCCTTCTTCATTTGGGCGACGAAAAAGAGTTATTAAAGACATATACTAGAATTTTACGGACTGGGCTCAATTCTCCGAGACTCATGATAGAACCTTTACAACATTTCTTGCCTTAAAACAGGACGCCCGCCCTATTTGACGCTGCTATTACTAAAATCGAGGGCGCTTTGACCATGGCGTACCACAACAGCACGACAACAGGGCAAGCTGTGTTCCGCTCAGAATACTTGCCAAATAATATGAAGGTCCTTACTTACGAGCGTCGACGCTTAATACGAGTAGCACGGTGTCACAACACACTGAAGGTTAATTAGCTGTTAATAGAGTACACCTACACAATAAATAAGAGCTGTTGGCGCACCACAATTGGTTGTGGACCAAAAAGTTAAATAATATACCAGATGATAACGGTAAGGGTCGCGCCTTTTTCTGTAAGTCTATTAGGGAATACAAAAAACCGAGCGCGTTTACCATTACCCACTATGCGAGACGGCAATTTTGTGGAGGAAAAGGGGGCTGACAAAGAGATACTATTCGCTGTTCACCTCACTACTCAGAGTGTAGCCTCTCCTACACATTTTATGGCTGATAAAATGATTTAAAATCAAACTTCCTTGCTGTGGCCAGGGAGCAGTTTGAGCCAATCATTATAGTCGAAAGCGTAGATATTATCAACGCTTTACCGAGACCAGTGGCTCCTGGCCCCGATGGGATCATCAACGTGATATTAAAAGCAATTACCAATGGTGGCAGTAGAACATCTAATGCTGTCTCATCAACTCTACGATGGCCCTCAGCACCTTCCCATTAGCGCTAAAATATAGCAACTGTTGCGAGGCTCCCAAAGATACCACGACCAGCATCAACGCCTGGCAAATACAGGCCTATCAGCCTCATGTTAGCCGTTGGCAAAGTACCTAAGGCGGTCATGGTGCACCACTTATAAGCACTGGTTGACGCAAGCCACGCACTGCCTGAGTTCCACCACTCAACAACTTCTTCGCTTGACGGAGTGGACGACCCCGCACCTTTAATTTAAAGAAGACCCACTGGTGCTGTCTTTCTTGGTGTCGAAAAGCGTTTGACTGAGTCTGGCACAAGGGTTTGCTTCACAAATTGCGCGGCGTAGCCCTTCCCACTTCTTTTTAACGTGAGCATATCCTACCCAAAGGACCGCGTCTTTGATTACGTGTGGACGGTGCGCGCATACCCCCGAGTCCACTAACAGCAGCCGGAGCCCCACAAGGAATAGCTTATAGCACTCCTTTTCATTGCACGTTAAGTACGCGACGTGCAAACAGCCTGACGAACCCCACTCGCGGATTGCCTTAGATTGACTAACGACACAGCGATTTACTCCTCGTCAGAGTCTCCTGCCTTATTGTGCCAGCGTTTTGCACTACCACCTACCGACGCTTGCCAACTGGTGTCGTCGTTGAAAAATTACCATTAATGCAAAATAGGGCAAAGCGCTTTTTATTACATGTTAGCACACTGCACTACTACCACCCCTCTGACCTTTGAAAACAAGGTAATGTTCTTTGGCATCCTCAGGCGAAAATACCTGGAAGTCCTTATTAACTAAGCTCTCGTGTCGGCCGCATGTATACACTATATCGCATCGAAGGTCAAGGCGCTAGTTTAAACTGTATACCCTTTACGTAGGACCTGAAGAAAAAAAAAAAACTCTCGTTGCACAACAAACGACGCTTGTATTTGACTGCGACTGATCTTAGGACCTACGCTCTACCGGAAAAAGTCTCTTTGCTTCTAGTGAGAGAAAACAAGCTTCTAACGCTTTATGACAGGCGCATCATGGTTTGCCCGAAACCATACCTTACCTCAAGCCCCATCCCGATTGAACCTGTTGGTAAGGTATTTGAAAACGCAATGCTGGCGCCATCTACGATCGGCTCAATCAGCACACCAATCGATTATTGGCAGATGAGGTCAGGTCATTTGCGAAATTTTGGGAACATGCACCCTATCGCCAACCGCGCAATAGGCTCTAAATATATTATATGGGCTAGGACCAAAGGTTTTATTAAAAGAAAAATAAGTATATAATGTGTGTGATCGCTTTACCACAAGCTTAAAGCTAAATTGTACGCTACCAACCCTGTTGAGAGCTCGTAAATTCGATCTTCTTTTTGACGATCCAATCGAGTAGTACCAAAAATTATCATCAATAAAATAAAATAATAATAAAAAATGAAGTCAACACCTATTCTTTACCTCTCTGTGTCATTCAGTCAAAGTCTTTTTGCCTTCAAACCGTGGTGCTTCCGACATGACGTGCAGCAATTTTTTTTAGCGAAGAGGATTGCTAGCGAGTCAAAAGTTCACGCAAAAAGAGGCGTCTTTTATAATTAACCGATTGATAATTTGCTGTAACCGCTTGTCGCGCGACGAGAGCTCACTCTTATCATTACAGTAGAAAGCATAGCGATTAAGATCAAGGGTTATTTTTCAAAATAAAGCGTCAGGAAGTAACAAGTGGTCTTCAATGCCGAAGCTTAGCCACACCGGTGCTGCTGGGGTTGGCATAATACTGCAACAAACGAGTAAATCGCCGTATTATGAGCGGATAAGGTCATCACGTCGCGCGTACAAACTGCGAAGAGCAAAAATAAAAGTAGGCCTTCCCAAAACCATCGCTGCGAAAGGCCTGGGGAGACTGTGCAAAAAGGCGCGGCCGTTAAGGTAAAAATTTAAGGAAACCGTAAAGGACACAGAAACGGCGTAGCGCGCAGTTTGTAAACAGAGACTATACATTATACATTAAACTTTGTCGGGTTGCTTCTTCGACATTCACGAAAAGAGCTGGAGCGGTTTTCTTAAAAAAATTAAAAGCGCGGTTCGTCCATTTTACCAAAGAGAGACTTGTTGAGCGTCGCGAGCGGTTGACAACCGTTTTCAAGCAAGCAGTAGAATAGCTTTAGCCACTTTACCAAACGACTGACTGGGGGCTATTTGGCTAACATTTGTTCGCAGGGACATTAATCGGGGCGTATACGGTAGCGCCCCCCTTTAGCCACCGTTGGTTATCGTTTCGTAAGACCGTTGATGAAGCAGCGCAGATAATCCATCGTCAACGATGAACATTTTTTAACTTCAGCACTGGATTAGTAAAGTCACCGGGGCCGGGCGCTTTCTCCTCGATGAAGAGTGGTTAATCACTACGATCACGTCGATAGGGATAATCTCATGCGAATCGCTGGCATTAAGTTGGATCTCACTCGTCGCTTTGTGGTGGTGAAGGTCAATTTGATATTCATCTTTAGTAATTGGGAAGCGAGTTACCCGATCAAAAAAGCAGTGTTACTTTCCTACTACGCATTCAGTTATTACATTTCTTCGCCGTGTCTCCGACTCGTAATAAAATCTGGCCTCCCCACAGCTTCTTATTAAAGAGGCGATGTAGTCCGGTTTAGAGCTCCATTTTGTAGTATAAACTTACTTTAAAAAGTAGTTTATGAAGTTATATTTACTTTAGTATGGATATTAAACAAAGAATATAATTAGTAGCATTACTAATATGTTTGTTGCTTTAAATGCAAGTTTTTATTAACTACCAAAAAGCCGACAAAAAAACTCTACTTTCCCGATCTTTTTTTTTTTTTTTTTAATTTATATTAGTATATAATGTGATTTCAAATTCATATACTATGTAAAGTAATTATTAAATAAGTCCTCGGTATTCTAAAATCGTTGTAGCCAATAGATGAGTGCCCACATCGCAAGGTA